CCCCATGGGCCTATGTCGGGAAAAACAGTGCCTACTTTGTCGTGTGTTGCGTGTGTTGCGTGGGCGGCGGCAGCGGAAGGGGAGGGAGGATGAGGGTGCAGTTGGAAGTTCAAAGCATCCGCTACCGTTAAAGACAAAAGACACGACAGAAGCATCGCACAAAACCACAGTCGCGTAAATCCTTGTGCGCTCTTCGTCTTTTCTTTTCCTTCTTTTTCTTCTTTTCCTTGTTTTTCCTTCTTTTCCTTTTTTCCTTCTTTTTCCTTCTTTTCTCCTCTTTGCCATCTTTTTCCTTAGCCCTGCTCAACCTTACCAGAGATGCCAGGTCCAGCTTGGGCGAGGCCGCACCTCCGGCCCCGCCCACATCTACGTCCCACGCGGCGGCGGCCGCCATGGCAGACAAGGAGTTGGAGGAGGACGTTTGAGAGGGCGAGGCGGCAGAGAGGGAGATGATGCGCGAGGTGGATCGTGGCGGACAGCCGGTAGCATTGCTGGTGCCCCTCAAAGAGGCGGTGGGGTGTTTGGCATAGGAGGAAAAGAGCTGGCGGAGCAGTAGGCCAAGGAGACGCTGTTCGTCCCAGCCACGGCCCTGGGTGGGCGAGGGGGAAAGGAGTTAGGGTGTTTAATTTCCAATTACATCAAATAGAATGTTAGAAATTTTGCTGCAATGTTGTACATGAATCGCTATAGTTCTGTCTTCCTGGAAAAGCTAATCAAAAACTGCCTGTACAAAGTTTTGCCAAGAAAGTACTCTGGATATTTATAACCGTAACTCCGGGTCCGCCAACCTTCCCCTCACCTCCCAAAACAACCACATTCACCCACATTCAAACGAACACATGCATACATACATACACGTCCCCTATCCACTCACCCGCAGGACCAGCTCCGCCGCCAGCACCAGTGTGGCGGGTGGCAGCCCCGCCAGGTGTGACCTGCACGAGGCCAGGTGGTCCAGGCAGTGCCCCAGCCACTTGGTCCGGAACGGCGACTGCATGTCCAGCAGCAGCGAGGTGAACACCACCAGCTGGTGCGCCGTCAGGAGGGAGCGACCCTCGTCATAACGCCGCTCGATGGCCTCAACCACCACCTGTGGGACAAGTAGGCAGTCGGTTGGTGCAGTTGGTTGGTGCAGTCACCTTACCCCTCCCTAAACCGCCCTTTTGCAAATCCCGTTGAGTACCCTTCCATGGATCCATAACATAAACCTCTCGGATTCCCCCCCACCAGCATATCTTGCTTCCCCCAAACACATACCTCAACACATACGTACACATATACGCAGACACATGCATACACACATACATACACACATACATACACACATACATACGTGCAGACATACACACTACAAACGTGATGTCGTGGCTCTCACCAGCACCCTGGTATCCAGCGCCTCCATGGCCTTGTTGACAGTGAATGCCGATATGCAGCCTAGAATGGAGGCCATGCGACCGAAGTCGGTGGCGGCGCAGGAGAGCGGCTCCTGAAGGTGGGCGTGCAGGTCCTCCAGCCACATGTCATCCAATAGGAACCTGGGATTTGAACCCGGGTGGGGCGTGGGGGAAAGGGGGAACTCCCTTTCGAAAGCCATGACGTGCAAGAAAGGTACGAAGGAAAGGCTGGTGGTAAACTGCCCGATTTTCCTGCCTCCAGACATTTCAGCCCAAATGCTGCCAGCCATACACAAAAACATACGAACACACACAGGCAGGCGGCTGGCAGAGGTTAAGGCCTGACTTCTGCTCCCAGTCGACCCAGTCGACTCGGGTTCAAATCCGCCTGCCGGCTCCTCGGGTGTTTGAGGAGTGATGAAATGGGAGGTGGCCCCCCATCTTATGGACGGTGTAGGACGTGATAATATCAACTTGCGAGCTGACCAGGAACTAAGTTGATGCGCCGTTGATCCGCTAGATTTGGTTGGATGCTGGTGGTGAGTTGCCGAACCCAACGAATACATTCTGAAGTCGGATGGGGTGACGGATTAGGGTGCCCCTCTAGCAGGGGAGAGCAGGGACTGCCCCGGGAAAGGGGGCCGCTGGCGAAGTTAACCACCCTGTAACAACATACACACATACACGCAACCACACGCAAGCCCCAAGCCCTAGGGCCCCGAATGTGCCCTTGTCCCAATTCCCTGTCCCAACCCGTACTCCTATTTCTGCCCCAACGGACCGCCCAATATCCCGGTGGGCCCAGCTCGCGACGGTGACCGCGGCCGCCCCCCTCGTCCGGCCCCACCTGAACCTCCTGGCGAGTCCGTGCAGTCCGTGCCACTGACTACGAGTGACCTCACCGCAATGGTTGACGGCCTGGCGGAATACAGCCTGAAGGGTGGGAGGGTGGGACCGGGCGGTTTTTGTTTTATCGCGTTTGGCTGTGGGGTGTGGAGATTTGGTGATGATGACGCTGATGATGGTGCTGGTGCTGGTGCTGGTGATAATGATGATGATGGTGGTGCTGGTGCTGGTGGTGCCGCTCGGCTTACCTCTCCCGTACCCTTCCTTCTTCCCTCCCGGGCCCACCCCAACCCCCATCCCCTCTACCTGAAGTAGAGCCACCTGGGGCAAATACCCGTGGTCGTACAGCGCAAAGATGGTGTTGAGCGCCGGGGTCAGCACTTGGAAGCCGCCCGCAGCGCCCGCGCGACGCCGTGCAGGGTAACTGTCGTTGCCGTTTTGGATACCGTTATGACCGTTGCCGCTGTCGTTGGAAGGTGACGGGCTGGTGAGAATCTTGAGCAGGCGCTGCTGTACGGCATCGGCGCGCTCCCTAGCAGGGTGACGATTAAGCACCGCACGACAGGGAGTTCGAAACCCGCACAAACATGATCCGAAATTATCATACGAGTTGCGTCTTGATATATAAAACGTATTTATAACATATGGATAAAGTTCAGACAATCTTGACAACCTTGGGTGCAATTTCAAATCCTGAAAAAAAGGATTTCATATACACACAAGCTATACGCGCACAAGCTATACGCGCACACCCTTTCCTCTCCCCTTCCAATCGTTTGAGGAGCGTATCACGCCCGCCGTGTGTTGCGTACTTCCCCCCTTTTCCCTTCAAACTCCTCGACACTCTTCGCAACTCCTCGACGCTCTTACACACACTTATCTCTGCTCCGGGCTCCAACCCCCTCCAGCAAGACGCACCTAGTCAGGCACTTGCCACTCACAGCAGACGCACAGCACAAAGCCTCCAGCTGCTCCGCGTTAAGCTGGTGTACATACGCCGACAGATCGCGAACCAGCCGGCAGCGGAACGCCTGCAGCACGGAGATGGGGAAAGAAGACAGCTAACGGTAACGGTAACGGTAACGGTGGGGCAGCTGATGCGAGAGCCTCCCTGGAGCCCCAACCCCCCAGCCTAAAACCCTAAAACTCCTTCTGAGCTCTCGTTTAACTTTAAATCCTGTTCCATACCTGCAGCTCCCCAAGCTCCCCCGCGTTCAACTGCAGGTGATAGAAATCCTGCAGCTGTAGCAGGAAAGCGTACGTCTCGTCCCTGGATAGCAGCCCCGGCACGCAACGGGGGTGCGTAATGGCGGCGGCAGCGGCGGCGGCGGCATCCCCCGTCAGCTGGTCCATCGAACTGCTACCGTTGTTGTCGCTGCCGCTACCTCCACGGCTACTGCCGCCCGCGGCGCCACCAGCCCCTGCTTGCGCTGCTGCTGCTAGCGCCGCCGCCTCCGCACGTAGTAGGTTGTCGTACACCTGCCGCATTTGCTGCCATTTGGAGCACCACCTCAGCTGCTCCCATACGGGGGAGCACTCCGTGGCGCCCGCGGGGCAAAACCCGTCAAAATAGCTCATGGAGAGACCTAGCAACGGTGACGGCGGCCGGGTGGTGGCGGCTCCACCGCCGGCGCCAGGGCCAGCAGCTGCGCTGCCGCCGCTGGCGGGGGGCGCGGCGCTGACGGAGGTGCTTGCTACGGCGGCAGTACGGATGCCGCTCCGTGGCGGGACGGGCCAGCGGTGGCCGCCGCCCTCGTCTCCGCGCCTGCTGAGGCAGCTGCTGCTGCTACTGCTGCCGTTAATGTGGTTACAGCCATGGAGCAATCCGTGGCTAGCAGCGGCTGTAGCCGCGGAGGAGCCGGCGGCTAATGCCACGGACGGCCGATTGCAGGAGGAGATCGGTCCAGGGACGTTGGTGCAGCCATGGCTACGACGCGGGGCGGTGGCAGTGGCGAGGTCCAAGGCACAGGAGCCGCTATGCTTGGAACTGCAGAAAGCACTGAGCGCAGCGTTCGCGATAGCCGTGCTTCCGCGTTGCGCCTGGGCAGCGGGCGAGGTAGACAAAGTGTACGGCGAATTTGGGCTTGTCGATACAGTGACCGGAATGCTTGACGGCGGTGATGCACACGGCCAGGAGGTTCCAAACTGGATAGACCTGTGCTGGAATGCCTGGTGGGGATGATGCACGAGCGGCACAGGCGCTGGCAGCGCCTGTACAAGGAGGCAATCAGTTAACTGGAAGTGTAAACTATTTTCTTGAAGATTTTACATGCGCCCAGGCAACGACAGCAGGAAACAAGATTAACGAATTTCGTGCCACGTCGGACTCGGATGGACGGTTAAGTACTGGCTTCGGCGAACACAGGCAGCAAAACATAATCCAGGAAAACGACTTTCAAAAGGCAACATCATGCGAAGGGAATCGTAACGAGGCGAGTTAACGGTAGAAAGCAGTCACACGTGGACCTCGTGGCTCATGACAGAGTGCCCAACCGTTAGCCGATGAAGCACTTGTGCTTTTACAAAGCTCTAATTCTCCAGCGCCTGCATGTCGTAACAATGACGCACCATCGCTGCACTTCCCCTTCGGCTGCGGCTTGCAATTCTTCCTGTCGCCGTGGACATATCAGCTGACTGCAGTGCTACGTCCTCGAGGTCACTGATCTGACAGCGCGTCCGAAGTTATCGGTATGGGCGTTGGAAGGAGTGCGTCTGCTTTTTTCCTTTTTATGAGTGAAAACCTATGATAATGTCCCAGATCGCCAAGCAGCAACCTTACAAATATTAAGTGTCACCTGCTCGGTTCTCAGAGGTAACTCGTTTGCGTGGATCGAAACACGTTGTGTACGGAACAGCACCAACAAAGAATCGTAACATCGCGTTGCACACTGCACATGCCAATATTCCTGGTCTTTGCCATTGCCACTTCGTAAGCTACTGACGAGCGACAATGGATCAAACCTGCTCCCCTCGCTCTAAACTGCTTGACTCAAGCGCGTGACGAGACGCATTCGGCAATTCTCATACAACGCCCAAAATTGTGCGAACTTGTGCAGGCGTATGCTTAACGACACTTGCTCCACCTTGCTCCAGGTAACCGCTTCTTGGGTCCTCAATGGTGTTGTACACAACCTCATAGGACTCCAGCAGCGAGCGGCACACACGCGACACCGCATCCGCGCGTAGCCGTGGCACCTACATCATTCGGAAAAGGTATAGCGCAGCACGTCTGCATACGTCAAGCATCACAGCGCTACCCATTTCCCACACCCGAACTGCGAACGCAAGATGTATACTAGATGTCAAATTGTTAGTCAATGCCGAGAAAAAGAAAACAAAGGATATATCGGGCAGGCTATCGAACAAGGGACGCCGCGATATGCAGATTCTGGACCTAGGATACCACCTGGTTTCTCGCACCTGGATGGCGTTGAATTCCGGCAGTGCATCAGGGCTGGACACCAGAACAAAGAAGCTCCTTAACGCCTCTGCAAGCCGCGGTAGCGACAGCGCCGGGTCGCTGGCCGGGCTGCCGGATCCCCCAGCTGCCGAAGAAGCAAAACCATCCTCCTCGCCGTCCTGGCGAGCCAACGAGAGCACAACGCACGACAAAAACAACCACTCAGGGCTACCGGCCTTCACTTCCCATCGGCGACGCCTCACCCCGGCAAAGTTCAGTCCCTTTTCTCGTAGGGCTCCCTTTTCCCGCTGAATGGTCCCTCGCCTACTTTCTAAAAGCCCCTCCTCTTCCCCTATGGGTTAACCCCCCACCCTTAACTTCTGATCTTGGCGTCGATATGCTGAACCGCAATGCTTTTGCCCATTTCCTCCCGGGAGTTACAGCCCTCTTACCTCGGCCTGCTGGTACAGCCGAAGCCGCTCCACCACCTCCGCCATGCCGCACCGCGCCAACAGTCGCCCCACCTCACTGCCCACCAGTGCCGCCGTGTGCGCCTCGATGCTGTCCAGGACCTGCAGACAGCAGAAGAGCCAGCCAGCCGGGTCGTCAGGCGGCGAACCAGACAGACGTACACATGCTGCCGAACGACAACTAGACTGGCGGATAGGACAACTGCAGAAAGGAAAACCACAGCTCAGCAGCAGCAAACGACAACCGGCACCAGCTAGGGCATAAACATCTTACCGCACCTCGCATCATGTCCCAAACCAGCACCCTAACCCAGCGTATCCCACCCAGCGTAAGCTTTTTTGCATATTGGCATCCCACCTGCCGCGCGCGTGCACTAGCCGCTGCTCGGTGTTGCAGCACCGCCCACACCGCAGCCAGGCAATTTATTAGGTAAATGCGGTGCGCCGCGGGGTCTAGCCTAGCCACCTCATCCACCCGTGAAGGCGCATCGGGCGTTAAGGCCTCAGCTGACTTGTCGCACATCTCAGCTAGCGGATCGAGCACAGCGGACAGCACCGGGCCCAGGTCTTCCGAGGCGGTAGCGGAGGAAGATGTGCTGCCGTTAGCATGGTGTTGACCATGCAGTGCCGGGGTCTGTGTCTGCGGCTGCGGTCGCGATTCCATGGCGCTCTCATAAGCATTGAGGATCTCCAAAAGATGGTGGACAGTCTCCGCAACCTGACAGGGACGTGGCAATATGGTTGAATGAGAGGGTGAATGTAGCACATAAGCAGGAGCAGGAGTTTCACCAAGGCTGTTCTATGCTACGCTGCAGCACGACCTTAACCCAAGCCAAAACCCTTTCCCTACCTTGCGCTCACACCGCGACGCCCCAGTATGTACCATACCTGTGGCGGGGGCGACAAGTCCTTGGGCGGCGGCGGCGGGTTGCGCCTCAGCCTGTCGCCCCGTGCGCGCAGCTGTTCGAAAAACACGCGTGTGGCCATGTCACGACAGGACGCCAGCGTGGCCGTCAGTTGGCCGCTGGGGCCCAAGATGCGCATCACGAGGCCGTGGTAGAAAGACAGAAGCTGGCCGAGGCTGAAGCACAACAGCGTAGGCGGCGAGGTCATTAGCACCTGCTCCACTCGGAGCTTGAGTGGGCGGCAGATGGAGTCGAAAATGCGGTCCAGCAGCGCGGGAGTGTGCAGCGAGTCACTGCCGCTGAGCGTCTCTGCGCAATGGGATGAGGTGGCGGGAGGGTCAAGAAGGAAGTTGCTCAACTCAACCGAGGATGATAACGTGCTTTGCCAAGGGTGGTTCTATTCTGCTCGTGAATCTGGACCCCTGACGTGATCTGCTTCCTGCGCTCGCCCACTCACCCATCATCTGCTCGCTGGCGGCCTCCGCGCTGTTGGCCTCCTCCCCAAACAGCGCCACAACGAACTCTCGCTCCGAAGCCAGCGCCTAGCGAAAAACGAAATGGCTAAATCATAAGATAATTACAACCATCTAACGCATGGTCCTTAGCATTAATAGTCCATGGATGGAGGTGAGGTGCTTAAGTTATTGGACCATTCAGAGCAATTTGGCATATATGAACAGCTGGCGTCTTGGCAGGAGAAAAAGGGATGGCTATGATGGACGAAGACATGGATTGCTTGGCGCTTGCGCGCATACATGGCCGCGGGCAAAAGTGTAAGTTTGCAGGGTGGAAGAAGGGGGAGAAAGGAACACAAAACTGAAATATGGGAGAAATGGACGGAAGTGAGCAAGCGGCCAGGTGTGGACAGCGGGCCGCGGGACGAAGCAGCTTAAAGGAAAATCAAACCCCAGATTGGAAAGCTGTCAGCGAGACAGACAGCCCTGCTTGTCTCGAACGCCCCAGAACGTGTGCACCGTAGAAAACCTCCCTCGCCCGATCCTCATACACGTGCATGAACGTGACGTTGCGTGACGTTGTGTGTGACGCACCTGGTGCACCCACGCGAGCATGTCGTTAACGTAGCGCTGCGGATCGTGTGCGTGGATCTCGATGGGGCGTGGCACACCACCCGGACCGCCACGGGTGAGTGCTGTGATGAAGCGCTGGAACAGCGAGTTGTGGCGGGCGGTAGCGACCTTGGGATGGGCGGGAGTGAGGGACGGCGAGGTTGGGATGACGGCAGGATGGGGACGGTGGGAGAGAGGAGACACGGCGAAGATCACATATATTTTCCGAACACAGATCAGACCATGAATGCCAGTACATGAAGGGAGGCGACACCGCGCTGCAGACAGGAGCTCCCAACTCCAACCGGCAAAATGTGCTTCGTCCCTGCTGCTCTTTCGTTGTCCCCCTATCATTACCGTTATACACATCCTGGCATCCCACAGCCCGCCTTTCCGGCTCTCATCTCCGTTCCGACTAGATGTGCCATTCGGAAGATAACGACTTCAACAACAGAGTCCTTCCTCCATTTCTTAACCCCGGTGTTTCCTCTCTATCCACCTAAGCCTATCCCTCCTAATCCTTAACCCTTACCTTCCTAATTCCTATCAGCACCTTGCCACCGTTTTTCCATCCTTTCTATTCGCACTTTAGTCTACACACAGACACACTATAGGCTCCATCCGCACCTCCTCCGCGCAGTACTTGAACAGGACGGGCCGCTCCCGTAGCGCAGCCACCGCGGTCTGCAGCGCCGGCTCCACCTCCGGCGCATCATACTCGCCAATGTTGCGGCACTGCACCTGTACCCACCTGTGGCCGTACAGTCGCCGTGCGCACGCAAACAGTCGCACATGCACACCCGCATATCTATAAGCCTATGCTGTGCAAACACTGCCAACAGCTAAGCTCTTCTACAGCTAAGCTCTTCGCGCGCTGATGCGTCTCACACAGCAAACTGAGACCCGTTTGTGCGATGCTGGGCTGGCTCCAGGTGGCTCCAACAGGGAGAGGTATCTGCAAATAAATACGCTCACGCGCCAAAGCTGCAGCCTGCCTCAGCCTCCTACAGCTTACTCAAAAGCCGCCTGTGGATCCCTCCACGGCTCCATGCGGTTGTCGCCTGCTGGCGTCTGCCTGCCACTGGCCACTAGAGCCTGCCTCCTAAGACAGCCATTTCAATGACCCCTCCTCTGGCAACAGCTATTTCAGTAGGTATATCGATAGAGCAGCAGGGAAGAAAGCCCTAACCCGCGCCTAATCCCTCTACATCAGGGCTCCCTCGCCATTCCGCAGCTACAAGTCCTACCTGCACAGTCGCTCGTACGCGCTCTCCTGGTGTGAGGCCATGAGGTCCATCAGCTCCAGTCCCGCCCGCTGGTGGTGTGTGCGCAACAGCTGGCGGCAGTTGTCATGGATGGTGCGCACGCGGGACAGCGCGGAGAAGAAGGCGGGGTTGATCTCCTCGCCCTGCAGCGCGGCAACCTGCACGGAGATGGGTTGAGTGGGAGCTGGGAGTGGGATAGGGTTGCGGGATGAGGTGCGCGAGGTGCGGTAATTGTATGAAGTGGCTCGATTGTGTCGGATCGATTGATCAGCGGGCAAATGATGACTTGGTGGACAAACTGATCGACGTGAAAAGTTCGGAGGAAAGCGGTTATAGTACATCCCTAAGTATGTCCTCCGTGCTGCCTGCGACACGTTTTCCTACGGCCCCGTCCCTCCCTGCCAAGGCTGTGTTGGGTGTGCGGTTCATGCCCCCAGAGAGCGGTTCTCCCTGCATCGTCATTCAGTACCCATGGAACCTTGACACTTGAATCAAATCTGCCCCGCCCGCACGTTAGCCCTCCCTCGGCGCTTCCAGCGCCGGCGCCGGCGTCACCACCCGGCCCCCCTCGGGCTATATGTTCCGTGTCTTGACCATGCCCCTATCTTATCTCCGCTCTCCTCCATTGCAGTGGGCCCCGTGCCGCACCGTTGGGCTAGGTTAGCCCCATGACCTTTCTCATGGCACATGATTTCAAGTCTTCCAGACTCTCCCAATCTTCCTCTGCTATCCATGACCCTACTCCCTCGTCGTTGCGAGTTATCCACAGCCACATTGCCCTGGCTAGGCCCCGGACCTCTGGGGCTGAACCTTACGGAAGTTCCGCTGGCCCAGGTCCGCCCATGCACAAGGCCCCACAGCCCTGTGCCCAGACGCGACCCCCAGACTTCCCGTCATCCCCGAACCAAGATCACCCACGTTGCCCTACCATCCCGCCGCCACACCCAGTCCTAGCCCGTATGCGACCCTTCGCCCCACCGCCACCACACGTCAAACGCCCCTGTCCCCTCCCCACAGGTAGTTAACCCTTTCTCAACCCTGAACAGAGAAGGTGCGTCACAAGACCGAAATCAAGCCTGCCGGTCCTGACAGAACCTCGTTACCTGGCACGTACCCTCCTTTCAGGGCCCTGGCCCGGCCCCACACACCCACCTCCTCGGGTGTCAGCTGGTATGTATCCAGGAACTGCGCCACCAGGCCCTGCTTTCGCTCTACCGCCTCCAGGTCCCTGCTCAGCCGCTCCGTATCCGCCAGCAGGGAGGAGGAGGAGGTTTTGGTGGACGATACCACATGAGAGATGGTGGAGCACGAGGCTGAGAGCAGGTCCAAGCTGCGCTGGACCTCATCCAGCGCCTACGGGAAGTTTCGGGAGAGGGGGATTACGAAAGTAAGGATCTAGTTCTAGAGGTGTGCAGGGTGCAGGGGGGCTACGGCCGGAGGTCTCGGGGTCCATTTGGTATGGGTTCAGGTGGCTGGGGTGCCAAGGCGGACCCGCACATCTGTGGTTCCCATCCCGCAGCGAGCAGAACGCAGCAGCGCACCTTTATGACCGACTCCGCCGCTCCGATAAAGCGTTCGTTAATCGCCAGGCCACGCTTTTCTATGGTGGTCCGCAACCCTCGGCGAGCTGCTGGTGTGTTTTCAGTGTAGAAGGACGACAGCGTTTGAAGCGAGCTAAGGAGCTCCGGAGAATCTGTCTTTATGTCCAAGACCTATGAGGGGCACCGGGTGCAAGCCGAGCATTGAAGGGTCTGCAGTTGCACATCGATGATCGTAGCGCCCAAGCACACCTTCTTCACTTTCCGTGCTAATCCTGGTGCCAACGGCGCCGCTGACAGCCCTGTGGAAGAATTTGAGGCCATGACTGTGCCCCCAAAAAGAACTACCCTTACAAGTTCAACTGCTACAAAAGTTTCCTCAAGGGCATGGTGTCAAAGCAACCACAAAATGAGTAATAATATAACTCTGATGCCCTTAGCAACATACAATTAGTACATTAACTAGGAGGGTCGGAGAGCGACATGTATACAGTACAAACTCTGCACTGTTTGCTCATGTCCCTGTCCCCCAACCTTTGTGCTGTATAGCAGTATTATCACCGACGTTTTTTCATAGTAAATTATGTAAGTAATATTATATCGAAACACTGAAAGGAGCTGCAAAATGGCGCAGTCGTTCGACTCGCTTTTCTGGGCTTCGCACGCTTCTTTTCATAGAAGACTACAGGATGGAAATTATTCAAAATCAGCGCTTGATGATCACTTTGATTGGCTTCTCTATGGGACGCAAAAGTTCAAGCCGTGCAATGAGTCCTCCCGAAAGCAGATTCTTGAAAAGCTCCAGCTGGAGTTTAAGGGAAAGACATTCAGCTACTATGCAAGGTTACGTCCGCTGGCGCTCAGGGCAGCAAGGCTGCTGGTAGGCTGACGCCGCCGAGTTTGGCGCCAACCGTCCGCCAAGGCCTCCCAAGGAGTCCCGGGACCCAAGGCTCCGTGCATCACCTAAGGATGTAATTCATGCAAAAAATTGCAGGACTTGGATGAGGTCCAGGCCATGCTGCTGCTTAAGCGCTGGCTGAAGGACAACCCCGACGTCAAGCTGGATGATCTGTCGGAGAATGACCCAGCGGCCTTGAATGACTCTATCCTTCAGGTAATGGAAACCGCAATCGTTGACTTTAGGCCGGGGGAGAGGCTGCTGGCGGAGCGAATAGGTGGCGGGAGGGGGTATTGGGTCGGGATCACGGTCTTCCAGGATAGGATGCACCCGCGCAACTTAGGCAACAACTGGACGAGCTACTCCTAGCCAATGTGCCTGGCGGAAAAGAACGACAAGCTTTCCCAAGTAGCCGCTAAGCCACGGACAGCCAACTCGGGTCATTCGTGGGCTGTTGCCCACGACATGGCAGTCGTGCACATCTAATATCTCAGCATCCGCTGCCCCGTTCGTGTGCCTCTGTGAAATCCTGCCAACCTGCATCTGGTGCTTGCCGGCTTTCGCCATCGCTTTCAGGTTCTGCGATACTACAACTCGGAGCGCATCTTGCTTCTCAAATGCATCCAGGTGGTTATGCTCAAAGGTGAATACATTTCCTGGGAAATACCCACATTCCCCCTCTTAAAACTTCGATAGACATTAACCTAACTCAACACTACCCTGTCAGCGGGTGAAACGGACGAGGCTGGTGGCGCCCTATCGGACCTTCTAGACCGCCTAATAAAATCCAATATCGAGGAGCAGCTGCATGCCAGGCTTCGAGAGAACTTGGAGAACGGCGCAGCCGCCATCACCCGCCGTCTAAAGGCCGGCGACGTGGCCGCATGCGCGCCCGCCGCTGCGGCCGCCACGGGCACTGCAGGCGCCGTGTCAACCACCACCGTCGGCTTTGTCGGTACCGCTGCGAGTCTTAGCTGGCTTTCCGCAGCAAGCGGCGAGATGCGGTCGCAGCTGGTTTCAGAGCGGTTGGAGCTGCTCAACTGCCTGCTGCTGTTGTACGAGGTGTGCGACATAGCCTGCAAACCCGAGCGCGCGCAGGCGCTGGCGCGTCTGCTACTGGACAGGGTCTTTCTGTCGGCGCAGACCGGCGGTGCTCAGAATGGAGCCGGCGGCTCGGGTTCGTCGGCAGCTGAGCACGGCATCCGTGCTGGCGGTGGCGCCGACACGGTAACGCTTCTGAGCCAGCAGCTCGCGGCACTTCTCCTCATGAGCTGTGTGGACCTGCCGGGACACGTTCGCCTGGCGGCGGCGCCGACGGCGGCCGGCGCCGGTGCGGCCGATGCTACGCTGCCGCTGGGCGGCAAGACCATGGGCGTACACAACCAGATCAGCCAGTACGCAGCCACGCCAGCCACAGCGCTGTTGCTGCTTACTTGGGCGGGCTGTCTGCGGCTGCTAGACGTCAGCGGCGGCGGACACATGATTCGCGACCTCGACGGCGCCACGCGTGAGCTTGATGGCCGCGTCGCCGCCGTCGGCGGTCTCACCACCGCCGTTGCGGCGCTGACGGCGCTGTGCGGTGGCGCCGTCGGCGCGCTGTTGCTTGTGTACCGCAGCGTCGCCACCAAGGCGCTGTGCGTGCTTTGCACTGCCTTTGACCTTGGAGCTGACAATGTGGATCCAGCAATGTATGAGGCGGTAGTTGCGCTGGTCAAGCTGTGTATGGAAGGTAAGTTGTCGGACTGCACGGCGAAGAACAGGGTATTGTGGGGCCGTGGCCATCAGGCTTGGCTAAGGCACGTGTGGTTTGCAGGGTTAGGAGGGGCACATTCGCCGGTGCCGGGAAACGGCTACCGGGCGAGATTTCCACCTGTTTGTTTGGAGCACTGCTAAGACAGACCGGATGACGCAGGGGGAGAATGCAGTCAAAAGGCACGCGGGTTAACGACTTACTGGTTAACGCATAGGAAGATTGAGTTGCAGCAGCCCTACTGTCCCCTCTCATTCCCCTCTTCATCCTGGCTGGCCGGGCCTGATGGCCATCGTCCCCGCAGGCGACGCCCGTGCCTGCGCCGCTCTGTGGGATGAGTCGCAGCCGGCCACGGCGCCCCTGCGCTCGCTGCTGGCCTCTGCAGCGCGGCTCTTCCCGGCCGTGCCGCACCATTTGCTGCGGCTGCTACGGCTGACGGCAGCCTCACCGGACACGGCGCGTGCGGCGTACGCTTTCCTGCAGCGTTCCGTGTCGTTGGTAGTGCTGCACAGCGCGAGTGAACCAGCCATCCGGCATCTTGGCGGTGGGGAGGTGGAGCTTACTTCGGAGCTGCCCTGGAATTTGGCGCCCAATGTGCCAGGGCTGGTGCTTTCGCAGGTTGGCGGGTCGGGACGTTGATGATGTTTTGTCTTGCTATAATCCCGCTCTCTAACTCACCATGTTTGATCTCACGCTTGCTTTGCGGCGATGGCTTGCGTGTATATTCAAACTATCCTTCATGCACCGTTCTTTGACGAGGTTTCGAACGTGCTGTGGCACCTAGCGGCGAATCGTGCCTTTGCTGGAAAGCCCTGTGAGCAGGGGATCTGTAATTTGTGCGCGCTGCGCTAGGTGGAAGACGAGCGGCATGTTCTTCTAGAATGCCCAGCTTATTCTGCATGTCGTGAGTGCTCGGACGTACCCCTTAGCTAATAATTCCGATATGAAGCCGATCATGATGAACAGCGAGCAAGCAAAGCTCGCTGGCCCACCTGGTACATAGCATTTGGCTTACGCGCTCGTCTCTACACAGGCGGTCATAATTGAATAGTGTCCTGGTTTTTGTGGATATTGCTTGGATAGCAGAACTTTTGCGAGGTACTATGTCCCTTACCTAATTTGTTTCTCTTAAGCTCTTGGGCCTCTGGCTCGCACGGGCGTTTTACACCTCCCAGGGTAACGCAACCTAGGTGCAACACATACATATATACATACAAGACCTGTCAGGGTCGAAAATCCTTCCGAAAACCCTAAGTTAAGCAAAGTATTGCGCCCCTGGTTGATGGACGGTGGTGACCTGGGATAAAGTTAACCTGCGAACCGACCAGGAATGGAGTTGGGCCGCTGTCGACCCGGCAGATTCCGTTGGATGCTGGTGGTGGGTGCGGAACCTGAGCGATCCACTGAGAAGTTGAGTAGGATGACTGGATGAGGGTGCCCCGAAATACCGGAGAAGGCAGGGTTTCGCAGGGTAGCTGCCACGGGCGAAGATAAACCCCCCGTTTCACACACCATATCAAAACCGAGATTGTTGAAGCATGGCTCCATATGCTTCCTGTAGGGCTTCATGGGCACACTGACTCCCCTGCCGGCGGCGTTGTCGGAGCTGCGGGGCCGCTACGTCCTGGTTTCTTGGGACGCGGAGATCAGTGGCGGGAGCTACGGACAGGTGCGTGGATTGCGCGCACGATGGGGTCTCGACGACGACGGGTTGTGCAACCGCTACCATCGGTCCGTCGCCCCATTGTTGTCTGGGTCTCGTCCGTACCTGCGCTGGCGCTGGCGGTGGTTCTTATATCCCCATATTGCCTGAATCCTGCAAAGTATGTTCGCAGTCCCTTGGCCGCTGCGTCCCTCGTTTTTCTCGGATGTCTCAGCTGCTGCCACACTCGTCACAGCAGTAAAGGCAACCCCTGTTGTGTTGTTGCTGAATGGCAGAGTGAATAAATGGTGTTTCAACGGATTCGACGTGATCACGGGTACTTGGTTTGTCTGATCTTCTCCAGGTGCTGCTTCTGGGCCGTGCCTGCCACTGCGTGGCCACGCTGGAGCACGCTCTGCTACACAACCTGCCGCTGGAGCGTTCAGATCCGACACTGTTGCGTGACTTGTCCGACACGCTGTCCCTGTTGGCGAGCCTTTGCTCCTTGGAGCCTTCCCTTTTGGCGGACCTAATAACGCAATCGGTAAGGCTGAGCTCCGGAACCCAGCGCTTCTGGATTGATGTCGTGGCCGGCGTGCTGGCCATCGGGCCGCAGCTGGCTGCGAGTCTTGCGTCGACGGCAGCGCAAGCTGCTGACCCGGCGGCCGCTACTGCGGCGACGGCGGCAGCAGCTCCGTTGCCGCCACCGCTGCAGCTATTGGCGGATGCTGCGGAGTTGCTAGGGGCGGTGGCGGCGCGTTCGCCGGGAAAGGTGTTGACGCTGTTGCCGCAGCTGCAGCTGTTGGCGTCACCTGGAGGAGACCTTCTGGCGGGGCTGCCGCCGGCGGTGCCACTGATCGCGCTGCTGTCGTTCACGGTGCCGTCGTGCATCGACTCCTTCTGCGGGCTGCTGCCGGCACTGTCGGCGTTGCAACATAACCTTGAACGACCCATGGGTCGTTACCCTCTCACCACTGCGTTGTTGTCGCTGCTGGCCCTGCTGTTGGAGCGAGGCTTCATAGCGACACCGCTTCCCGTAGCAGCGCTGTTCGTATTGTACGAAATGTTGCCCAACCTCCATCACTGGCGCTACGTGAGCGCCAAAGAGCGGTGGGCAGTGACCCGCGGGTCATTACGCGTCGTGCGTCTTGCCCTGACTGCTGGGGCCTACGTGTCCGATCCGGACATTTCGGCACTGGCGGCGCCGCCACCGCCGAAGGTGGCAATCACGATACCTGGCCGCGATGGCAGCACCAGCGGCACCACGTTGCTGCTGACGTACGGCGGGACTGGCGCCGGCCATGCAGCGCTGAGCTCAGCGGCCACTAGTCCGGAGGAGTTGGGCTCTGCTTCTCTGTCTCCTGATGATATTATGCGGGCGGCGGCGCCGAGGCTGCATGTGTCGGTGCTATCAGCGGCGCTGCTGAAGCTTTTATTGCTGCACGGCGGTGTGCTGCTCGCTCGCTGCCTGCCGCCGCCCGCGGATGTGCTGGAGGTGGGTATGGCGAGCGCGCATGCTTGGGCGGGGGGCCTGAAGGGTGGCTGTATGCCTAGCGAGGGGCAATGGTGCGGATCGCGAGTGCATCCAGGGGTACACGCGTATGGATGCGCAGCGTTCAGAAGAGAAGGCTACGTGGGTTGTAATTGTACGTATGTCCGGAGGCCTTTGGGAAAGCAGCCGAGTTGGTGATAGAGGGGACGCGGAAGGAAAAATCGTGGCGAAGGAGGTGGCATTGGGATGCCACTCTTGTCCTTTTAAGCACTCGCTTCCTCGGCCCTGCAGCGCCTACGAGGAGACGACCCGTCCCGGCCCGAGCTGCCCCTCTTGGAGGAATGTGCTGGGGAGGTGGTGCAGCTTATCCCGCCGCTGCTGGCGGCGGCGGGCGTACACCCGCAGGTAACCGGCGTGCCGGGTTGGGGATTGGGCTGGGTGTAATAAGCCGGGGTGTGTGTGGGGTACGTGCGACGTTAGCATATAGCATCTGCCTCCTGGGACATCCCCCCGGTGGGTGGTTGGGTGGGTAGGTGGTAGTCGTCTTGTGATGATGCTTACCTGCGTACGTGTAATTGTCATGTCTTTAGGGTTGTATCCTTGTCGCGACGTAGCTTTGTTCGTGCCCTTCTTCCTGCCCGTTTGCGTTGCTTGCGGATGAATGAACTGGTCATGTTTCCTGTACGGCGGCCACAGGAGCAGCCCTTTGAGGAGTTTCTGTTTTCGGGTCAGGATCCGACGCCCGCATCGCACGTGGCGTCCTACATTGCTTACCACGAGGCGGACCGGGACATAACCCCGGCTGAGCACCAGGTGAGCGACTGACCCATGGGTCTCGCCGCTTCTTCAGACATTGTTACCTAAGGAATTGCGTTTTTTGGTGGCTAGATGGTTAATACGGATCATTCGGGCCATAGACGCCATCATTAATAACTAACATAGGTTCGTTGTCTTCACTTTCTTTTGGATTGTCACCACAGGAGGTTTATTATCACAGTAACGGTGATGATGCCCACACAAGTGCCATGCTTGCGTCCAGGTGCTTCTTGCTTTTTTCCTCGCGGCCGTCGCCTGTTACCCACTGCCGCTGCACACTGCTGGCCTGCTATACCTCGCAGATCAGCTACCGCGCCCTGCGCGCCTTGCTCTCCATCGCCGCCTGCGTGGCGCGTCCCGTCTCCCGTTCCCTGCCCGCCGTCACGCTGGCGCTTGCCATACCCAGCGGCAGTCCCGCGGAAGCCTGCCTACGAGCGCTACTGCGTGGCGACGCCGCCGCCAGGCACCCCCAGCACCACGCCCTCTCCGCCCAACTGGCAGCTGAGGCAGTGGCTCATCATGCGGAGCTTCTAGACGCCCTGCTTTTCCCGTCAGAGTTAGAGGAGGAGCAGCAGAGGCATCGCGCAAGGGGTGGCGGTGGCAGCAGCGGCGGCGGCGGGCCGCCGCCGCTGGCGCTACCGGCACCAGACGGAACTGGGACTGTTGCGGCGGCAGGGGCTGTGGCGGTGCGCAGGGGTCCGCGGACGTCACGCCAGGCACTGGACGGGCTGTATGCGACGCTGCAGCAGGCGGCAAAGCTGAAGCAGGAGCAACCGGAGGTAAGGGCGTGTGCCTTAAAGGGCAATATAAAGGGAAAACCCAGGTGCGGGATCCATATAACGGATCTGATCCCCTTACGTATCAGCCAGGGACTAACACCTCTGGTTCTACTGCATTCCATCACCCGGCCGCTACTCGGTCATCCCCTACCCTCCGTCCCAGCTCCTCCTTCAACCCTTTTCCTTCCACAACCCTCCCAGCCCAGTCCCTCCTGCTGTGGCTTTGGACGCCTAGGCAGTGGGTCCTGTGGTTCTTGCATATGATTGCCTCTCCACGAGTGGAAGGATGCACATAAAAAAGAGGAGGACTGTCCTCTGTTACTGCCCCGGTCGAGCAGGTCCTCGCCTCCTCGCTGCGTGTCCTGGCGGCCATGTGGCGCCAGCCCGCAGCCGCGCACCGGGCCGTATCCGTGCTGCGCGCCGCGCCGGCCTTGTGGAGCAGCTTGGAAGCCTGTCTGGAGCCGGTGCCGGCAGGTACGGCACCAGCCGCTGCCGCAACCACTAGCTCTGCCTTCCCCCTTTCGCCGCATGCCCATGTGGTGGCGGCGGCGGCCCAGGCAGCTGCCGAGGCCGCTCCAGCTCATCGGGCCTTATGCGAGGCCTTTGCGCTGCAGATCCTGACAGCAGAGGCCTTCGCTCGGGCGCGGATCCCGGCCGCGGCGGCGGCTACTGGGGGCGGCGGCCCCGGCAGTGAAGTTCAGGCAGTACTGGATCGGCTGGTGCGTGGCGGCGGGCTGCTGCGGCTGCTGCGTGGTGCGGTTTCGGAGTCTGGCGGAGGCGGTGGGGCTGGGGCAGCGGCTGCCACTGTCGCCGCCGCGGTGGGCGCACTGCAGATCGCCGCCACGGCGCTGTACTTGGAGATGGGCGTTGGGGTGGTTTCGGGGCTGTGGGCCACTGTGGCGGTCGGTTCTGAGCCGGAGCCGGATGCGGTGTCCCTCGGGCCCGCGGTGCGAGAGGTGAGGGCCTGCTGACATCCACTACTCGCCCCCTCCTCCAAAAACTTTTTCGAGCTCACATCAACAGTTCGTTACATCTTCGCCGCTTCTGCACCAATTCTTTCTTTTTTACCGCTTCGTTATACATTTCTTTCTCACGCTTTTTATTTTAGTCTTGGCGGCGAGGTAGGCAGGTTTCCGCCGTCATCTTCATTACATCATCCCTAGGACGCCGCCTTCAAGAACGCCTATCGGTCAGTTCTGCTTCTTGTACATTCTTTACTTGGCAGCAGCTTCACTCGTTCGTGGTTCGTCTTTCCCCACATGCACCTTCGCAGGTGGGCAATAGCCTTGGTGACTTTTCGGATGTTTTTCCTTGCTCTCCAACCCCCGCCCTCACGCAGGAGCTCTCCGGTATTCGGTCCCTTTTGCTCCAGGGGGCCGTCACCACAGAGGACATCCGGGCAGCGCACGACGACCTCCAGGTGGCGGCACTTCACCAGCCGCATCTACAACAAGAGCAGCAGCAGCAGCAACAATCAACCCACGGTTCACCCACGGGCACTCATCAGCAATCCCCGGGAGGCGACATCAACATGCTGCAGCTGCCGCCCACACACCCGCTGGCGCAGTTGCTGCAGCGGCAGTGCCTGGGGGCGGCGCTTGTGAGCAGGTGATTACGAAGGAGGAGGAATGGGACCTTAGACCTTTCCAGAATGCGAATAGGGACCTGGCGATTTCTGTGCCGCGCGGGGCTGTGAGGCCACTGTCTTACCCCTTCCGTACTTGAACACTTTCCTGCCATTCCTCCGCCTCTTCCTAGTCCAGCTCTTAACTCCAACCCCACATGCTGCTGCCCAAACGGCCAACCCTCTCTCTGTTCACGCCGGCAGTTAATTTCTCTTTATTGACATTTATAAAAAAATATAATATCTGCGGGTGCTCATCGCGTGGGTGCTCATCCCATCCCACACAGGTGTCATGTGGCCACTACGGACCTGGCCCAGCTGCCCGGTGGCCCCGAGCCTCCGGTGCCGGGTACCGACGACTATATGCTGAGTAGGTCCCGACTGGTGGCGCTGCTGGGGCCCGCGGCGGGGTCGCTCAACTCTTCAGATCTGCTGACGGCGGCGCTGGGAGACGTCAACAGGACGTGAGGACTTTTTGGGGGAGGGGGCCCGGGGGGTTGCGGATCGGGGATTAGTGTCTTTGGGGCTGGGGGGGGTAGCTGCTCGGCGCGGGATTGAGGGAAGGGGGGGAAAAGGGAGGAAAGGCTGCCGCAGTTGCATTTTTGCTGCTGTGCTGCACTCATGCACTTGCGGATGTAGATGAATGCAATGTCCCGTCCCTTCCCCGCCTCGCGCTTGGTTTTTTGGGGGAGGGTAGGTCCTCGCTCGGTGAGGCGCTGCTCGCCCAGCTGCAAGCCGCCTGCATGCTGACATCCGTACTGGCACAAGATGGCAAATTGCTTAAGGCTACCAGCGGCAGCAGCAGCGGAGCCGCCACCACTGCCGCTGCGCTCCTTGATCCACCAGCGCGAGCTCGCGAGCCCGCCACCCCCGGCGACGCCGGCCCGTCGACGAGTACGGCTCCGGCGGCGGCAGCCGGCGGCGGCGGCGGCGGCCTGCTGACGGTGGTGCAGTCGGCCTGTTGGGCGGCCATCAGCGGGCTTCTGACCTGGTGTGACTGCCGGGACAGCCGTGCTACGCTGCAACCGGACTGGGGCCTGCGGCGTCTGCACGCGCTGCACATCGCCGCTGCCCTGTCAGCCGCGCGGCTGCTGTTGTCCGTGCTGCAGAGTGTACGGCCGGTGCTGACAGCTCCGTCATCAGCACCGGCCGCCGCCGCCGGCTCCGGCGGTGCCGTCTCCACACCTGCACGCACCCCCATAGGGCTGGGCAGCGTCTTAGGGACCCCCATCGCCGTTACTCCTGTGGCCACTGGTCCCCGGGGGAGCAGGCAGGGCGCCGGCGGCGGCAGCAGCACCGCCGCCGCCGCCGCCGGAGATGGTGGTGGCGGTGTCGCCGCCGATCCGGCGTACTTGCCGTTTGTGGTGTCTTTGGCAAGGCAGCTAGCGGCGTGGGTGCGCGCGTTAGTGACGTCTGGGCTGCCGCAGTGTCCGCCGGCAGCGGCGGCGCAGATTACAGATGGCCTGGCAGGCGCGCTGCTGCTGGCGCTACGGCCGCTTCTGCCGGAGTCCGCGGTGGCGGTTTCGGAGCTGCAGCTGCTGCAGGCGGGGGACCGACAGCAGCTGGCTGCATCACTTCTGTCCACCATTCCGCAGGTGGGGCAGGCAAACTAGGGTTGTATCCGTTCGTGGGTACTTGTGCCTTTAGTTCCCCCTTAGGGGATGAACCAAAACCTTTAGTTTAGTCCATCCCCTAAAGGGGAACTAAAGTTTGCGCAGGCGGGTTGATTTTAAGAGGCTCGAGCTGCGGACGAGTGGGGGAAGAAGTGGAAAGGAAAGGAGGAGGAGGAGAGAGGAGAGGATGTCTTGAGCGTGTTGCGGACAGGAGGTATCCAATTGTGTCATTGCTTCCTGATATGTTCGCGAAGTCTTACCGATGTGAAGGTTGCGTGTATGCAAGCGAGGCTGATGTACTGTCACCGTTGCCCCTTCGCCTTCGTTTTTGCGCATTCCTCGATATGTATCCATGTTTGGCGACAAGCCATTACGCACGCACAATTTCACATCCAGTTAGGCGTCCACATATGCACGCACTGCTGCGATTTACTTTTTTCCCATCCACGTTGCAGCTGTGCGATTTGGCCGCCAGCGGCTGCATATCCACCTCCTTGGCGGCACAGCTGCTACTGGAGAGCACCCGCCACCTGGCCACACACGACTGGTTGTCACTCCTACTCAACCACCTGGATCTGGGCCAGCACATACTCGCTGCCGCCAGCCGCGCCGCAGCCCTGGCGGCGGCCGCCGCGTCTGGCGGCGGCTTAAGCGGTGGCGGTTCTGCCTCCCTCCAAGGCGGCGATGCGGCGGCGGCTGCGGGCGACCTGGGCATGCTCACTTTGGCGTTGGCGGTTGCGCAGGCGCCTGACGGCGCCCGAGCGCTGTACGACAGGGGCATTGTCGATCAGCTCGTGGCGGCGGGACGCCACCTGCTGTCCGGCACCGGAGGCAGGCTGGCGGCGTTCTCCGTCATTGCGGTGACGGGTACGGGGCCGTACAGGCCGGGCGTGGATGGCACCTACGCGTCTACCGCAGGACGTTCGCGGTTCTTGGGCAGCGGGGGCCCGCTGCTGCCGGACACCTGCGGTGCGTACCTGCCCTCTACGGCAGCGGGGCCGTCTACTGCCGTCGGCGAGGGCGAGGTTTGGTCGCCTGTGCACCGGCAGTGGTGTACGCTGTTGCAGTTCTCCGGGGCATTGCTCAAGACGCTCGGCCAGCACATGAGCATGGAACGGGAGGTGAGATGCAGCTCGCAGGTCCCTCCCTCTCCCCCATTCTCTCTCTCTCCCCCCCTCTCTCTCTCCCCTTCCCTCTCTCTCGCACGCTCTCTAGCTTGCGGAAAGGCCTAGGGTTTCCTTATTGCGGCCATGACATTCCTCGCATTCCTCTTTCCTCTCTCCTCCGCGGTGCTCTCCGCCGCCGCTGCGGCGGCCGCTGCCCCCACGCCCTCCTTCCCGGTTGTCAGCTTCTTCTCCTGTGTGTCCTGCTTGGGATCCGCCACTTAACCCCGTGTCTTCCTTCATGTCCTCATTCCGCCTCTTGTGCCCTTCTTGACGTCCTGTTTAGGCTTTGGACCTGCTGCTGGCATTGGAGCCCCGACTGATGCTGGCGGTGCTGCCGCCGGGGGGAGATGTGGTGCAGCCGCTGACACTGGCGGGTCTGGTGGAGTTGGAGGCTGCGTTGTTTTTGCTGGGGGAGCTGACCGCCTACCTGGGCGGCTGGCACATGGTGCTGCCTGCCTCCTTGCTCAACTTCAGGTACGTAAGGGGATTATCGGGATTACGTAAGGGAATTGTTATTATCGCGCCATGAGACCACCTGCTACGTGTGTAGAGAGCGTTTTTCGATTGCGAGCAGTTTTGGGTTTACCGCGTCGCAAATTCATGCCGCGGAATATTTATATAACGCGCGCATATTCATTTCGAAGTGGTTACCCTAGGGACGTTTTTGTTTCTCGGGTGTTTTTCGTGACGTCGACGTTGACATTGACGTTGACGTTGACGAATAACACTTTTTGATATTCGGTGTGGACCCCTTTCAGGACCGCCGTGTCGACTCTGCTGACATGGCTGGCCCAGCCCACCTTGTCCAAGTCCTTCGGCGTTGACTGCCGGCCCCGCACCGCACGTGAGGCCGCACTAGCCGCCACACCAGCCGCCGGCATACCCAACACGGACGGCTGGTTTCGAGCCTGCACATTCGGTACCGCTGCAGGCGGCCAGGCGGCAGGCGCCACCGCCGCCGCCGCGGGCAGCAATGGCGGCCTTACAGGTGGTATCGGCTCACCCATCGCCGGCGCCATCCCCAGCCTCAGTAGTCTCGCTCGCGGCTTCTCGGAGGGATTGCCGCCGGGCATGTCGGTGCCGGTTACGCCGGTGGCTGGAGGCGGCCTCGCGTTTGGGGCCGCGGCAACTCCGGTCCGGGCCGCAAGCGGCCTTGGGACACCTGGCGGCAACGCCGCCGGTGCCGGTACGGCGGGTCCCGCCGCCACTCCAGGGGCGGCGGGCAGCGGTGGCGGTGGTGATGCGGTGTGCAGCGAGTATAGCGCCGAGATGGCGGAGAAGTTGTACGTGTGCGCGCAGCACGCGCTGATGTTCCTCGTTGCATCGTCGCCGCAGGTACGGCAATGCAACTGCGATGTACGGCGGTCTGTACACAGGTTTCTTCAGTGGGCACGCCGCATGGGGCTACGTCTCCCTACTCGCCTGAAAGCACGTGGCATGCACTTGCGTCCCATTATGATCTTCCGCATATTCCCCTCCTTTCCCCGGGGCCCCCGCTGCCCACCGTCTTGCATTTTTAATGCATTCCTTCTTTTCCAGTAGCTCGTTCTTTTCGCTTTCCAGACCCATTTCATTCCGCGTTGGACCCCTCTCTGCTCCTCTTTTTCATACACAGCTGAGCCAGGGCGAGGCTGCAAGTCTCGGACCCGCCTGGCCTCGAACCCGCGACCTCTCCGCACTCCTTGATCAGTGCATGTGCGCCTCCGAGTCCCTGGCCCACGCTGCCATCACCGCCGACACGCCAGGCGCCGCCACCTCAGCCGCGCGGCGCACTCGCCTCATGCGTTTGTTGGCCCGCGTGGGTCAGCTGTGCGACAGCTTCCTCGCGGTGCTGGCGGCCGCTGGTGCCGGAGGCGGCACTTCCGCTGCCGCGGCCGCTTCCCATCACCACAACCACAACCATCATCATCACCGCCATCACAGCGCCCGCGACTGGCTGGCATCTTTGGAGCTCGAGAGGGGGCAGGGGATGGCGACACCAAGCGGTGTGGGAGCTGGGGCTAGTGGTTTAGGGTTGGGCCTGGGCGGGGTTGGCGGGTTGGGGCCTCAGGCAGTGGCAGCTAGTTAGTTATCTTACCTAAGTTATCTGGCCAGATCGCACTTCCACAGGAAAGTATACCTGGCTTTCTTAGGGTTTCCTTGGCTGGCATTGGGGTTCTTCAGGCCCTGTTGCCATCGTGCTGGAGAGAGGGAGGACCGGGAGGAGGCGGAAAGCAACGAGGAGGATCGATAGCTCCGCGCGGGTAATGGGAAATGGTGGGTGGTTTGGCTGACCTGCTTGAAGGGAAGGGAAAAGTATACGCGGGAGAAGTGGGCAGCGAGCTAGCCCGGGCCAAGCGGATACCATGCTGGCAGTTAGGGGTAGAAGAATGACCAGACAATGACGAGAACAAGAGCTGTTCGGACAGAAAGGTGAGGGGTGGACATAGCGCAGCTGGAAACCACAGTACGATAACTGGCAGCAGCATGACATCAGGGAAACGGAAGGGCTGGGGCGGGATGCTGTGCACGTAGTGAACAGGTTGGGAACCCGTAGTTAGGGATAAAAGGAACAAGAAGGGTGACGCGAAAGACGGATGCACTAAAACGACTTGATAACGATGGTTTTTACGTTTACCATGGAGAACATAACAGTTTAGGGCGTGTGACGCGATGTGAGGTAAAGTGACGCGACGCCGCCACGGTTCATGGAGTTTATATACAGTTTCTAAGCGGATGTAGTTAAGTACACGTGCACGGCGGCCAAGGCCAGAATGTACTGGGGCGGACTGTGTGTCTCGTAGATGTCGCTGGTAAGACTCGCGGTTGGGACAGACTACAGCTAAACCAAGACCAAGACACGGGTGTAGTTTGTAGATGGGAGCTGAATTTCCTAGGCAATCAACGAGTACAGGTAACGAGTGCCTTCCCTTTGTTTTCAATGGACAGTCTTCGGCCGATGCTGCGCATTGGACAGTCTTCGGCCGATGCTGCGCATTGGCCGTCTGCATCGGCCGTGCCGACGGACGTCTTGGTGACCCAGGAACAGGACCTGCGACCTGCGAAACTCAAGTGTCAGAATCTCACCTCAATTTTTGTGAGGTGCGGAGTGTGTGACTGGCGGGCGGGGCTGCATGACGGATTCCGTTCTATCACATCCAGGGAAAGCTGTGGGCTTCCTCCCATTTGCCAGCGCAATACCAATAACACCGAGTGATGGACGCACTCATGAAAGAGATGGGGCTCGTGTCAATTTGTCTGCAACGAAGCAAAAACAGGCGCCAAGAACAATCGAACTGGCGAAGGCCTCTAGGCCCGGCGCACTCATATACGATTACGCCATATACTAATTCCTATCTCTTTTCTCCTGCGGTCGTGCACATGAACTGCATTAGCACGTGCATACCAAGACGGCAATAAAAAGACACCACTCCTGCCTCGAGTGTACGACTTTGATACGACATGTTTCCAGTCGTCCGGTTGCGCATCCGGGGCTGGTCTCCACCGTCGCGACGCTCCCACTCCGGTCACTCCACGCCGGCAGGAGCGCTGGCGGTAGCGCCACCGCCGTCGCCACCCGCCAGCACGCCGTCGCTGATGATGCTGGCCACGATCTTGACCGTTGCGTCATACAGCCGTGCACAGGAGGCCTCGTCTCGAGACTCCCTCAGCCAATAGTCCCCCACATGGGTGTGCAGCACCAGAGGCAACATTATGGGAGGCCCGATGTACAGCCCGCTGCGACCTGTATCGTCGTACGGATTTCGATTCGCAAGACCTAATTAGGCGGCCACCGTACATCTTTGGGCTAGCAGCGCTTGCTTCTAAGCGATACGCATATCACTCCTTCAATTGGCGGGCTCGATCACCATACACGGGCATACAGGGACTCCGAAAAACCCGCATTTCCAGCCGGCTCCGAAACTCCCGCATGCGTCTCAAGCACCGACCCACCTTGCAGTCGTGGCTCTGACAGGGCGTACAGCGCCGGCAGCGCGCCGTAGAAGGGGTGCTGCGCGAACCACTCCTCCACCACATTGAACAGGCGCGCGGCGGGGTAGCGGCGGAGGGACTTGTGCCATAAGTTGGTGGCGGCGAACCCTGCGTGGGTGGTGCGTAGTTGTATGTTCAATGCACGTAGCAGGATCCAATAGAGGATCCTGTTGCGGTTGCTGGTACCTTTGCGCTCGTGGCCTGTCCTATTGCCGTACTCACCAGGGTGTACGGCATACACGTCGACGCCAGTTCCCCGGCAGCGCACCGCCAGCTCCCGGGTGGCCATTGAAAGCATCCTCTTGGAGGTGTTGTACGCGGCCAGAGGGTCACTATCCGCGAGCTTCTTACCGCTGTGGTGGTGACGGTGTTCAGTAAAAAGAAACAAGGGAGGAGAGGGGGTCTAACGGTATATGCAGCCACAGCGCAGTGACAATGGGATTTTTGTCAAGGTTACTTATGGATTATGTTGCACATTTGGACTTGGATTTGGATTTGGCGCTTTGAGCGATGTATTGGGATCGATTTCAACGTTCCTAAGGAAGTCTCCTTGTCACCCAAAACGCCCTGAAAACGGCCCCAAAAGCGCCTTGAAAAAGACTTAAAACTGGGTGTGCCAATCCAACTCAGAAATCCCCACATTCCCCCCATCTCGCCACACTTTTCTCACCACAGATCCTCCCAGTCCACTGTGCCCATGTACTCCCCCAGAGCGGAACACACGTTCACTACCCTGCTTGGTGCGGAGGCGGTCAGCTGCTGCAGCAGCAGGTGGGTCAGGTAGAAGGGCCCGTAATAGTTGGTGACCAGCGTGTGGTTTGGCAGCTTGCCGTCTGCACCGCGTCCTGGAAGCCCCATGGCCTCTCCTGCGGGGGCCGTGTGCGTGTGCGTTTGTGTATGGGCCCGGGGCGAACGAGCTGCCACACAGCCGGCCATCTGCCCCGCGCACGCGGTCCCAGGGCCCCAGCATACACCCACAAGCTATTCTCGCACCTGCCGCGTTGACCAACCCATGGAGCGGTAGTCCTGTAGTCGCGAAGTCAGCAACAAACTTGGCAATACTCCTGGAGTTGAATTGTGGAATTGCGGAGTTATGAGTTGGTGTGATGTCGTACATTAGTGCAGAAGATGGTACGAGCGCCCGGGCGGGATGCGAGAGCAAAATGTGATGCAGTTAAGGGTGGGGGGAGGGCGGTGGCGTGAGAGCCCCGGCCTCGCCGTACCCCAGGGTACGGCACTCGAACTCCATCCTTCCGCACCCGTCACCTGCTCAGTCCCGTCCTGCTTTTTACCAACAACGATATCCTTTTGTCCTGTCTTCCTATTTCCGCGCTTCTTCTCCCGTATAATCTCCTGTAATCTTGGGTACCGCGATTGCCGTCTTAATGGGTGTACTGCCGTACTCACGCCAGGGATGTCATGTCCAGGAACATGGGGCGTACTCGAAACTCTGTGAGGTACGGCATGTCGCGCTGGAGGTCCCGTACGGCTCTGTGGGAGATGTGGGGGGTTTGATGTGTTCCTCGGCCGGTTCCCCGTTCGGTTATGTTGTCTCCTGCCGCAGACGTATCCCGCCCCTCACCTACTCCTCCAAACCTGATGCGCGGGGCCGGTCTTGCCCGGGTAGACGACGCGCCTTGACAACATTCACATTCAAAATGCATTAAATATTATGTGTCGATTTTTTTCAAATCCAGGAGCCATAACCCTTCAATTGCGTCCTGACTTCCCATTGAGAGGATGATGACGACCCACCGACCCACCGACCCACCGACCCAGGCAGTCAGTACCGGTACTCGCTCACTTTCTAGCTCCAGGCATGTTGTGTGTGGCCAGAATGACGGTGGCGTTGCTGGCAGCCAGCCATTTGACCACCTGATGGTATGGGGGCAAGGGCGGCGTGGTGCGCAGGTGATGCGATCTGGGTCACAGCAGTCTGTATAGAGGCTGAGGCGCGAAAAAGCCTGGACACATATGCGAGTGAAAAACTCCGACGCGACTCAAGCAAAGGTTCATATTTTACTTGATAGATATCTTATTATGCGTTTATTCGTGTTGCATCTTGTGCCTTTAGGAGGCATAGTTACCTGGAAGCCAACGCCTGAGTTGCCGCCTGTCACGATGTACACCTTTCCGAACAGATCAGCCATGTCATGCTGCGGTCTCCAAAAGGCTTGGCGACGCAGCCATTCGGGCAGCAATGCCGTCAAGGTGCTGTCCAGGATGAGCTCTGAAGCCATTCTGCTTGGTCAGCTCAAGGCTCTGGTTGGACCGCGCTCTCTCCGACCCCTCCTTTGGTTTCTTTCCTTTCCGCTCTACTCGCACTCCCTTCAGTGCCGGACGTAGGACTGGATGGAGGCGGAGGAGGATTACAAGAAAAAACCTTTCCTTTCCTATGCTACTGGACGCGAACAAGCTGAACAGACCGAAGATGCAGTGTAGCAGGGATGCAGTGTTCGATTATATGCTTCAACAAGGAGGAGCAGCTGGGGGGAACGCAAACATACAGCGTGTTGGACAGCATCAGGAAGGTAGGATACTGTCACTCCGGACAAACCGTGTTACTGCAGTGCGTTCAAACAAAAACATGAGTTTGGTTCTTGGCTCGATTACGGAAGGCATCATCTAAGGCGGTAACATGGAGGGTTTTGGTTGCGTCGTGCGTCGTCGGTGGTGCGGTCGTGTCCAAGGTGCGGGCGAAGCGAAACGAAGTCTATCGAAGCGGGACGGCGGTTAGTCGTCGTTGACTGCGTCCCGAACAGGTCAGCAGCAGAATTTTTAGTTACATGGAGTTTGTTACGGTTGCTTCTTCTCTATACCTCCGCAATATGTTCCATGAAAGCCGCGTCGGCATTCTGAATTAGAATGTCATAGAGTGAGACACGGCAATGTTCATCGAAGGAGGGTACTTGGCGCATATAATGAAAAGCAATGACCCCCAAAACTATCGAAGGCTGCACAATGCACCGACCCTTAACTGCCGCTCTCGTCGCAGAAACAGTTAAAGATTATGGTTTAAAGATGAAGTATTTTGTATCTTTAAGAAAAAACGTTGCATCCTGGAGGCATTTTGCTCGGCAGATGAAGCAAACGCGTCGTTCACGTCACGATGGAAATGCGACAACCACCACAATGTATGACCCGGGAGATACTGTAAGGGCCATGGTACATGCTAAAGGTTGTCTTGAGTCGCTCAGGGAAACGGCAAGACAACTGCATCCTAACGGAGTTCCGGAGCCGTGCAAGTGACAAATGCACAGTGAACTTGCGCGAAGCGCAGGAAAACTGCCGAAGCTATTCAATTACTTGTTTTTATACTCTCAACTGCCAGCTGCGCCGCTGCCCCCAAGTTCCTTGCCTCCCGACATCCCAACAAGGCTACAGCATCCTAAGGCGGGTTGCTCCAAAACAATCATGCTTCGAGCTGCCAGTCCGCAGGTATCAGCGCCTTTTCGCTCGCTTCCAAGCCACCGTCCACACTGTTCCTGAGGTGCCAACCCCCACGTGCCAACCCCTAGCTTCCGTCCCACCGCCAGCACTGCTGCCACAGCTGACAAAATCGCGAGTTGTTACCAGGATAGGGGCATTGCCGTCATCTGAGGTGATTCCATCCTGGCGGTTCCAGCGCCGCCCGGAATGATCAATTCACAAAGACATCTTGGACCTCCGAAAGCCCTTAGAGCTCTGCAGCTTTCCAATTGCATCCTATCCCTTACATGTCCTACTTTTGACTATCGCCTGATTTCAACCTACCATCAGGCCGTCGGCGCTGGCAGCTCCTTTCCCCCGCTTCGGAGGTTTGGGCAGCGACGGCGATGTGGAAGAGCCGCCATTGCGGCGCCAGCTTCAGCTTCAGCAATCAGAACTGCAGCAGCCGTCGTAGCTACAGCCGCCGCCAGAGCACGTTCGACAGCTTATGGCCGTACCAGTGTCGTACCGGCTGCCGTGGCAGCATCCGCCTCCGGATCGTTTAACTTGTCCCGCAGCAGCCCACTGGCGGGCGGCCGGTTGGATGTCGTACACTGGCGGGAGGGCCGTATGCTGCGGATCTGGACACCACCCGGTGAGTGGCGCACGTGGGGGCAGCGACGGAGTTGGGCTCCGTGGGGGGACAAAAGGCTTGGGAGGGGTTGTTGTTGTGTGGTACTTGGAAGGCGGGTGGTAGCTGATATGGGCGGGCTAGTTGTTTAGCATACTCGTCAGTGGCTTCGGAGCACAGGATTTTCCTGGCTGCGTCAAGAGTGGAAACTTATGGGAAGGTTTTTTGGGAAGAGACATAGAAGAAAACGTATGTTGCTCATGTCCGTATGACTCTCGACAACATTCATGAGGCTCCTTCACGTTGTGCTGCTGCTCTTCAATGTCACCTTGATCCCCCATCTTCCCCCTCGGGCCCCTTTCCAACCTCGGCCCTCCCTTGTCTTCAGGTTTCAGCCCCTCCTCCGCCACCTCCTCCTCCTCTCGCGATCCCCTCCCCGTGCTGTATCTGAATGACGGTCAGAACCTGTACGGCGACCAGCCCACCCTCAGCGGCTGCTCGTGGCACATGGGGGAGGCGGCGGCGGGACTCATCAACTCGGGGGCACTGCCGCCGTTCGTGGTGGTGGGGATCGATCACCCGGGAGCCATGTAAGTGAGTGTGTTCGAAAATGGGCATGCGGGAATGGGTAAATGTGGAGGAGCCGCACATTGCCGTATTTTCCTAAGTCTGTTGACGTCAATAAATGGATGTGTAGGAGTGTTTGGGAGGGGCTCAGAACGGTCAAAAGTCAAACGTTCTAGGTCAGGATGTAATTACGTACGTTTGTTGGTTCCCTATGCGCAATGATGATGCTCTTCCTTGATGTTGCTCCGATGCCGTACAGGCGTTCGTACGACTACCTGCCGTACCCGCCGGGCGCCGCCAACGGCTACCGGCTCGACGCGGCGAACTGGCCCGGTGGCGGCGTCGAGGCTTACCTCCGTGCGGTCGTTGACGAGATCCTGCCGTACACCGAGCGCACGTACGGCGTGTCTTCGGAGCCTGCACTTCGTGGTTTCGGAGGTTCGTCCTTCGGCGGCATTTGCGCTCTGTGCGCTGCGATGCTCCATCCCGGTGTGTTCGGGGCTCTGCTAGTCGAGAGCCCCAGTTTGTGGTTCGGAGAGGAGCGGCTGCTGCGACAAGACCTGCCCAGCTTCCAGGGACCCTGGCCGGCAAGGATGTTCCTGGCAATGGGAACGAAGGTACGTGCTGGACCTGACATGCCGTAGCAGGAGCGTGCTGCAGGGCTACGGGGCAGCTGACTGGCGGTGCTGGTTTGTCGATTTCCTGTGTGTCAGTGTTATGTGTGTGTATTTAATCACGTACACATTCAGAGATATGGACGGGATTTCAAGTTCCTGGAATGGTTTCCCGTTTCCATGCAACGCCTTCGTTCTTATTTTTCTTTCGTTTGTCGACTCTTGCCGCTTTTTATCACTTGTATCACGCTGCTGATGTTTTTTCTCACCCGTTGCACAGGAATACTCGGTCATTCGGCAGTTCAAAGAGTCAGAGTTCGATTCCCGCCTGGTGTCGCTCACACACGACCTGGCAGCGCTGTTGGAAAGCCGGGGACTGATGCGAGGAGAGAGGCTGATGGTGATGGTGGACGAGGGAGCCACACACAACGAGCGAGCATGGGCACAGCGTCTGCCTGCGGCTCTACGCTTCCTGGGAGCCCACTGGCGCCATCAGCAACAAAAATGAATTCCTCTCAACGCGTCCTTATGTCGTTCGGTAGTAGTAGCAGCAGCAGCAGCAGCGTGTGTTGTATGTGGGGCGTCTAGCAGGTTGTATGAACTGTAGCAGAGAGCTGACGGTCTGAATGTTACATACACTAAGGTCATGCACTACTGGTAAAGCACACGCCGATGCCCCCGGAGGTTTGGGGATTGAGACCTGTCAGGGTCGAAAGATCCTTCCGATGGTGGAAGGTAAAAGTGCCCCTAGTCGATGGACGGTGGTGACCTGGGATAAAGTTGACCTGCGAGCTGACCAGGAATGGAGTTGAGTCGCCGTTGATCCGGCAGATTCTGTTGGATGCTGGTGGTGGGTGCTGAACCTGAGCAATCCACTGCGAAGTTGGCTAGGGTGACTTGATGAGGGTGCCCCAAAATACCGGGGAAGGCAGGGGGTTCCCTGAAGAAGAGACTCTGCCAGGTAGCGGCCGCAAGGTGAAAATATGACGCCCCTGTCCCACACATCATACACACGGTTCTTATGATTATTAAGTAATCAGGACACACATTATAGGGCATGGTATATGATTGGTGAGGAAGAGCAGGGGGGAAGCTCCCCCTGCTGAGGTGTAAGATGTGTATTTGTTGGAGGATGAGTGCATTCCTGCCTTCTCTGGTTCCAACTTCTCAACTATATCCGTTCTCAGGGTTTCTCCCAGGCAGGTGGGGGGTGGAGAAGGCAAATGACAAAAAATGGTTCGTCGGAGTGGCGGTAAGCGCCTGCAACTCAGGATAGCAACATTGATTTCGCTTGCGATGGGCCTTTTCTGGTCTCAGTTGTCTCCGGTCGAAGCAATGCCTGTTCATAAGGCTCCTTGAATCTCGATTGTGCTCACCATCGTTGAGGTTTAGATTTCGAAAATGTCACGCTCCCATACACCGCTGTCGTGCACAGATCAGTGGCTTGGACTTTGTCTACCCCACCCAGCCCGACCAAACATAACCTGACTTCCCACTACTGCCACCCTGGATATGGGGACCCGTGGTGGGCCCCACATTATGCTTCCGTCACCGGAGAACCAAGACCTACAGATGCTCATGCTGTACCTGTGGTCACGTGCACCGCCCACAGTGTCCCTTCTGGGAGCACCATCCAGGACACGTGCGCTATTCCTCCCTCAGAAGGTGGTGACCAGCGGGATTTCATGGAAGGTGCGCTGCAAAGTGTGTCTCTCGTTACCCGGCTGCAGCTGCACCTACAGGCTGCTCAGCTGTACAACAGGGAAAGTGTGCATAGCTCCCACTGCGGAACACGGTGTTCCGCAGGCGGCAGCAGCGGCTGGCGGAGAGGTTCCCACCCTGATGAACTTTGGCCAGCTCCAGACTCTTGTGGTGCTGGGGCGCTATCTGGATCCCTACCGCCGTGAGTGCAATGTGCTGCCCCGTATCTGAGGGAGTCTTGTTTGTGTTGTTGCGGGTTGGGGAAGACACCAGACTGCTCACCGACTCTTAGCTATCACGCAGCGCTTCAGTTGCTGAGCTCTGTTGTCCGGTTAGGGCTAGCTGTCTTGGATGGACGCCTGGGGTGGGTCTCCCCCTCTTTCGGGGTTGATGATCCTGTTGCACGGGCTTGCATCCCAAATTACACATGGGAGTGGTTGGGTAGGGCGTAGTTTGGCTGGCTCCTGGTTGTCCCTACCCTCTATACTAGGAAAGAGATGTTAAATTATTAAATGGTGAAAAAATAAAGCGGTGAAGCAGCTTGTTCACTGTGTAGAGGCCTCTACCAGTCGTACCGCGCATCCCAAACCCTAAAGCCTCTGTAATGGTTGAATCCGGTACAGAAGCAACATGGTCCGGTTTATAAGCTTGTAATAACCCAATGCGAGGATAATGCAACTCTTTAGCCTTGCAACCGTTGTTCTACCCCAAAAGCCGTAGGCGGTTAAAGCGGACTGGTTATTGAGTTATCAGAAGAACAACATAAAAGAACTGATTAAGATAGGTAGAGCAATTTTGACATTTATTCTTGGACTATGTGAGAAGGAGGGATTCCGGGCGACGGGGAAGATTCAATCCAGTCTTTGGTTCCGAATGATTCGCGAATCATTATCCCTGCCTAACGAGACACAAATGCCTCCCAAATCATAAAAAGCATAGCGAATAAGGTAAGTAAACCGCTTACTTTAGGCTTGCAACTAATCCTGTAAGACTGCTGTGTGTTCGTCCAGTCTTTGGAGATCACTCATCACGCCACCATCACCATCAGGAAGCAAAGTACTGTGGTTCTACCGCAGGGGTAATGAACGTCTATCGCTGCGCTTTCTGAGCCAGTAGATTAGTGGACTCTGGCTTCCGAGCAACACCCAAGGCGCAGAGATTGAGGGCCCCTTGGTGCAGGCCTTCGTTGACTTCGATTGCAGGATTAATTTTAACCACCTAGTGGTCTTGCGTTTGCGATCTACAAACATGCGGCAGGGACAGCCTCTGAAGCCCTGCTCCCCCAGATGGCACAGGTGCGGGCGCTGGCCAAACCGAACCCACTAAGCATATCAGAGTATCGTATAAGTCATTTATCGTCAACTTGACTTCGTCCTGTTGCTTCGAATATTATGACGGCTCTGAGTCAGAGTGGTCAAAGGGGCATCATCACATCTGTATAGTATCCTTTCTCGTAAATTAACTTAGTTGGGCAAACCATATCTTCTGATGAAATGGTTTTGCCATGTTTCGCTTGAGCAAACTTCGCTGTGCTCGCTGCCGGGTCTTTGGGGCGACACATTCCCAAGCTGGTAAACCGCGAACAAGCATAGCTTTTACTGTCCCGTTTCCCGCCTCCCTGCAGTTGGCGCCATCTTCACATTGCTACATTCGAAAGCCATCCCGGCAGGCCAGTGCCTCTCCGAGTCGCCATGCCTGCCTCAACTGCGAGCACAGGGACAACCGCGGGTGGGCCTTTCCTAAAGGTAAGCATCCTCCCCCTAACCGAATTTCGTTGCTAGAAGTGAGACCTGTGCGAATACAAAACTCCCCCCATATAAACCTCTAACCTTGCATAAGGACTGCAGATAGCCAGGTCGTCTATTTGGCAATAACCATATCCCCACCACATGAAGATGTCTGACTAAGCGAAGTGGCTAGCTTGAGGAGAAGCAGTACATACGCGCACAACGGCAAATTATCATGAATCAATGTTACCACCATATGCCGCAGGTTAACGCAACTGAAGGTGTAACTTGCACATACAACGAGGTTTCAAGTACCGCCGGGACCATGGTTATGGAGCTGGCCCCCAGCACGTCACCCAAGTACCCTCCGAAACCGCAGCAACCGCTAACTGTATCGGGAGCAGATCAACCGTCCACGGCATCGGAGCATTTACCCGTAGCAGCAGCAGCTGCCGATTCCACCTCAGTCGCCAACAACGTTGTTGCTGCTGCAGGCATGCAAACCGCTCCCATCGTTGTGGCTCCTCCAGCTATTACACCGTACGCTCCGGATCCAGGTTCTGCAGGTGAATCCGCGTCGCCCCAAGGACCACCCGGACACCTAGTTGCTGATGTACAGGCCGCACCAGCCGCAGCTGTTGCCGTACCTGCAGGAGCCGCTGGCGACGCGCGCGTATCCCCATCCGTACCAGCCGTACCTGCAGCCGTACCAGTAGCCGCAGTCTGCACGGAGGAGGACGTTAGCAAAGAGACGGAGGGTCTTGGTCGGGGGCTTCCGGAGCAGTCGTCTTCCGCTGCGCAGTTTAGTCTGTCCCGCAGCAGCCCACTGGCGGGCGGCCGGTTGGATGTCGTACACTGGCGGGAGGGCCGTATGCTGCGGATCTGGACACCACCCGGTAAGTGGGGGAGGCGACGGAGTTCGGCTCCGTGGGGGAATCAAAGGTTTGGTAGGGGGGTTTGTATGTCTAATCCGCTGATATGGGCGGGCTAGTTGTTTAGCATACTCGTCAGTGGCTTCGGAGCACAGGATTTTCCTGGCTGCGTCAAGAGTGGAAACTTATGGGAAGGTTTTTTGGGAAGAGACATAGAAGAAAACGTATGTTGCTCATGTCCGTATGACTCTCGACAACATTCATGAGGCTCCTTCACGTTGTGCTGCTGCTCTTTGATCCCCCATCTTCCCCCTCGGGCCCCTTTCCAACCTCGGCCCTCCCTTGTCTTCAGGTTTCAGCCCCACCTCCTCCTCCCCCTCCTCCTCTCGCGATCCCCTCCCCGTGCTGTATCTGAATGACGGTCAGAACCTGTACGGCGACCAGCCCACCCTCAGCGGCTGCTCGTGGCACGTGGGGGAGGCGGCGGCGGGACTCATCAACTCGGGGGCACTGCCGCCGTTCGTGGTGGTGGGGATCGACCATGCGGGTGACAAGTACGTTCCTGGGATACTTGCTAGGGGGGACCGTAGGGGTGAAGGGGAGTTGGAAGGGATTGTGGTAGGAGGACGGGAGGTTAGGAGGAGGAGGCTAAGAATCACTTCGATTTCATGAGGACATGATTGTGCCGTCGTCACAGCTTCGATGCTTCTTATTACCCATGCCGTACAGGCGTTCGTACGACTACCTGCCGTACCGGCCGGGCACCGCCAACGGCTACCGGCTCGACGCGGCGAACTGGCCCGGTGGCGGCGTCGAGGCTTACCTCCGTGCGGTCGTTGACGAGATCCTGCCGTACACCGAGCGCACGTACGGCGTGTCTTCGGAGCCTGCACTTCGTGGTTTCGGAGGTTCGTCCTTCGGCGGCATTTGCGCTCTGTGCGCTGCGATGCTCCATCCCGGTGTGTTCGGGGCTCTGCTAGTCGAGAGCCCCAGTTTGTGGTTCGGAGAGGAGCGGCTGCTGCGACAAGACCTGCCCAGCTTCCAGGGACCCTGGCCGGCAAGGATGTTCCTGGCAATGGGAACTAAGGTACGTGCTGGATCAAGAGTGTGAATGTGAAAACCCCGCTCGTGGGTTGTGTTGAGCTTGTACGTGGTCCCCACGGGGATAATCTTCTGGGGTGCAGTACTGATGTTGAGTAGTGTATGACTTTGTAGGGGCTGCAGTACGTACGAGGACGTGCTAACGACCTCTACCTGCCACGGAGGACAGCTCCGTGTCTGCGCTTAAAACAAACCTCCGTAATGTTCTATGACTCCATGCTTTGAGAAAGCATGGCGGTGCGCCTACAGTTCAGGTTTTTTCCGGGAAACAAGAATCAGTAACGCGGAATTTCGTCCGCTTCATCATCACCAATCTCATCCTTCTTTCTGACTCACTCCCTTCCTCCCATTCGTCAGGAATATTCTGGTATTCGAAAGGAGACCCTGACACCCGAGTTCGATTCCCGCCTGGTGTCGCTCACACACGATCTGGCAGCGCTGTTGGAGAGCCGGGGACTGATGCGAGGAGAGAGGCTGCAACTGGTGATCGAGGAGGGAGCCACACATACGGAAGCCGCCTGGGCAGGTCGACTGCCGGCGGCGCTGAGCTCCCTTGGGTTACACTGGTGGCGGCATGTGCTGTCGCGTTGCCGCGACCACCTCTACTTCACCTTTCCTAGGAAGCTGCTGGCGGGGCGGCCGGCGGTGTTGTTCTTTAATCAAGTATGTGCGTGGAACGGTCCCCACGGGGGCGTGTGCTATGTGTTCGGCAGCCCGGGTTTAATTAGTCCGATGCAATTGTTGGTGCTGCGGCTGCTGCGGCTACAACTGCTGCTGCAGCTGCTTCTATAGTAACCCAGTCCGCAATCCGTGTATGTGTATGTATATCTGTCTGTGTCTTGTTCAGGCTCGCTCCACCGCGCTGGCCAGCCGTCCACGCGACTCCATCAAGATGTCGTACGGCTTCAACGTTGACTGGTCCGTGGGCGGCGGCCGGATAGACATGACGCCTGCCGTCGGGCTGACAGCACTGGCGGCGGAAACGCGGGTGGGAAGGGCGACGAACGGGACGTCGCCGCTACCGGCGTACGACATCGTTGGTGACGTCGCCGAGGCCTTCCACGCCGCCGACGCGTCAAGCTGGCTTCAGGCGACCTTCACGGTGCCGCCTGAGGCGTATGAGATGCACATGGCCTTCAGTGACGGCGACAACGGTAACTGGGATAACAACGACGGCGCTAACTTCTACGCGCGTGTGAAGATGGACATGACGGCGGAGCAGCGGAGCCACACTGTGGAGCAGGCGATGGCGGAGGGTCCAGCATGGGGCGACGTGCAGGTGGATAAACGGATGGGACGACCGACCCGTGGGTGCAAGGGAGGTTAGGCCGGTAGAGGGTTGGTGAGCGGGTGGATGAGTTGGCGTGTGGGTTTCGGAACGAGCCCCACGACTACAAGAATTCCACCGGCAGGTGTACCGTCGGCCGTATGCTCTCGAGGGGTCCCTCCAGGGTGCATAGAGACCCATTGAGGGGGCACGGTGGGGCTTAGGGGGGCCTTGTGTAGGCGTAGGGCTCTTAAGAATAATGCCCTGGTGGTCACATGTATGTATGTTCTTTTGCTAGCCGGAAAGATCATCCTGCCGTGCGTGACCTGCACTGACACCCGTCTATTACTTTTGAGCTGTAGCTTTTCACGTACCAAGAATCTATTGACGCCATAATCACGTATCCACACACATGTGAACAGGAGATTGCCCACAAGAGGTCGGGTTCGATGTACTTCACCACGCCGGAGTTTCTGGTGGCGGGCGAGCCTGCCGTACTGTACGTCAACCGCCACCGCGTGCGGGGACTAGAGCACAGCCCCAACATGCGTGTCCATTTCGGATTCAACTCCTGGCAGGTTGGCGGTCAGGAGATGTGCTTGAAACCCAGCTCGCTGTGGCGGGGGGAGTACACGGACTGGTGAGCGCGCCGGTGATTGCTCCTTCTGCTACCAGCTAGGTTTTATATGTATATCTGTATATCTATGTCTGTGTATATCTATATGTATATATGTATATATATGATATAAGCATATATGTCAGGTATCGGGTATGTTATACCTGATTCGGGCACAACCCAACCACAACACAACGTACACAACCATAGAGGCGGAGCGGGGGGGGGAGGGGTATGACAAAGGTCCCGGCTGGGCCAGCAGCAGCAGAGGGAGGCCCCGGGTAATAATGGAGGGCAATGGCCCGTCGATGATCTCAAACATGTGCGCAATAAGACTAGGAAACCACATGACGCGGCGGAGCAAAAATGTCGTCTAAAGAATCTGATAGAATTCGCCACAAATAAAACGCCTAAAATCCTTATCGGCGAACGATGGCATTCATGTTGTTTCGTGTTTAAAGCGCCGTTCCTCTCGTACCTCCCGTACCCTACACCTCCGTACATACAGGTGGTCCGTTCCCCTCACCGTCCCCGGCGACGCCACAGACATGTCCTTCGCGCTCACAGACGGTCATGGCGTCTGGGACAACAACTTCGGCAACAACTACATGTGCCCGGTGAAGAAAGCTCGGGGGACAGGTGGATTGGTGGAGAGGCGTGTGGAGCCTCGTGGGGTGGAGTCCGAGGAGAGTATGCCACATGCTGCAGGTGCGACTCTGTGCAAACGTTGGCGGCGGCGCGGACTTACCGCGGCGGGTTCACCGCTACAGTGGGGATATGTCTACAGGGATATGGGACCAAGGAGAGGTCAGGGACCGGGTAACTGACGGTACCGTCTTTCGTAGGTGTAGAGGGTCAGGTTAGGGTTGTCGGCTTGGGTTGTCGGCTTGTTGTCGGCTTGGGTTGTCGGCTTGTTGTCGGCTTGGGTTGTCGGCCGTGTGTTTATTCAGGTATAGAAGCCCAAAGGTAGCTCCCCAGGCTGACAAGGCGTCCATGTAGAGCTAAACTGAGCTAAAAGTTTCGCACAAATGTGGGTGGCGGCCCGTAAGAGCTGGGGGACTAGCACCAAGGTATGGTTACCAGCACCGAGCGTATGCATGGCCAAGGCTGCCCATACTGCAACCATCCCCCATCCTCTTGTCTGAAACCACCTGTTCATTTCCCACTAAGTGGATCGTGCGATCATATTACAGGAACGCTCCACATCGTGACGTTGACCAAGCGCAAGGGCGGCGACACGGCGGTACGGGCCAACAAGTGGACGGAGGAGAAACGCGTGCGCGTGTGGACGCCGCCGGGATTCGATCCCTCGCGACCGCCACCGGGAGGCTACCCGGTGCTGTACATGCAAGATGGTCAAAACATGTTCGAGGTACGGAAATGCTGGAGTTTCCTGTTTAGGGCGACTAAATACAACTAAATTTGGGGAAAATGTAGGATCTCAACCCCAGCCCTAACACCAACAATTGCCAAAGTTCAGTATCCAAAAATACTAGCTTAAAGCCGATGCTAAAAAGCACAAAGCCATTGAAAGCGGTCCCCCGCCACTCCGCTGAACTTTCCTTTACCCCCCCCCCTCCTTCTCCCACCCCACAACCTCCCAGGACTGGCTAGCCCACCAAGGCGTGTCTTGGCGTGTGGGTTACACGGCGTCTGACCTCATCACCCGGGGAGAGCTGCCGCCCTTCGTGGTGGTGGCGGTTGACTCCGTGGGCGCCATGCGCTCGCTCAACTACCTGCCGTACCCACCCGGCACGGGTGCGGGCGGATTCCGTGGCGACGCGGAGCGGTGGCCGGGTGGCGGTCTGGAGGCTTACATGGGCCGGCTGGTGGAGGAGATCATGCCGCTGGTGAGTTGGGGGTTTGGATGGGTGCGTGGGGATTTCTGGAGTATGAGGGTGAGCGAATGCGGAATACTTGACGGCGACCCGCAAGGAAGGGTGGTCACGTGGATTCGGCTCTTATGAACACCTAGGTACTTGCTTGATTTCAATATCGGGTACCATGGGAGTTAAGGGGTTAGCAGTGAGTGGATTGCACATGAGGCATAGCTTGTCGCCGTGGTACGCCCCGGGAGCCGAAGCTTGAAACCTGTGCCGCGCGTTTTGTACGTCATGCGTACTTCATCCAACCGAAACAACCGACCTTTCGACTGACCACTCCACCAATCCGTAACCGACTTCTCCGCAGATACAACAGCGCTTCGCTGTGTCGTCCGACCCAGCCAAAGTGGCTTTTGGCGGTGGCAGCTTTGCGGGTGTGGCGGCCCTGTACGCGGCCATGCATTACCCCCATGTCTTTGGCTGTGTCTTGGCGGAGAGCCCCAGCCTGTGGATCGCGGAGGGGCGCTTCCTGCAGGTATGTGTGCGTGTGTTCGTACGTTCGTACGTTCGTGCTGACCAGGTACCTGTGTCGACGCTCAAACATAGCACATAAGACTCGAGTACATCGCTTACATGAGTTAAGGCGCGTATGGTCAAAATTCATAGCAGCGTTATGCATGTTTAGTAAGCATGGGAGCCATGCCTACACATACATACGCACGCACGTACATACAGAGTACCTCAAATTCCCTATACGGACATGCTGGTACTATCCGCGGTCACCATCTCGACCTCCTTGTCCCCTTCCTTCTCCTCCATCGCCGCCGCCCTCCGCCGTTCAACAGGATATGCGCATGTACCGCGGCATGTTGCCTGAGCGATTGTTCCTAGGGTGCGGGACTAAGGAGTACTCCGCCACCAGGGACCACGACAGGGAGGACGTGGATGCGCTGCTGCTGAGCTACTGCCAGGAGGCTGCCAGCATACTGGAGTCTCAGGTACGGGCGGAGGGGTACGGGCGGGGGGCGGGGGCGGGGATGCAGACCCGCACGCAACAGCTAAACGTGTCAGACCGGGGGAACACATTGATTGTAATGGAGACGTAACGGATTAAACTCGGGACGTGTGGCGAGAGGAGGGAAACAGAGGAGAAAGAAAAGGAAACTTCCAGATACAGAGAGATGTAAGCTAGTGGGAGGTTTGTTTGTGTGTATGTGGTACGCTCCCCGAGAGAGGAGTTGCGTTACCCTGGAAAGATGTTACATGTGGGCCCATACGAGCCGTACGGAGCCCCAAGTGCCCAAGGGCCAGAGCTGCTTACCGAAAGGACCGCTGTCTGGAAACGAACAAAAGAAAGGTAAACTAAGCTATGTACAAAAGAATTAGGATTGTGCCTTGTGCAGCGTGTTCGCTCTTGGAATCCTCCCGAAGCTCTTGGAATCCTCCCGAATACTGTGCACAAAAATGATGTATGTCAAAGGGATGGTGAACGGGTTTTATGTGAGGTGCTTTTAGGGTTGGATTCTGCCGTCCTGGGACTTAGGTGTCTGGATTAGGACTGTGGGTCGTTAAGCACTGTTAAAAATCGTTCAGGGTCGTTAAGGTTGGGTAAGAACCTTAATTATTAATAAGATCCGCTCATTTGCATGCTACAAGTTACAAGCTACAGGTTCCGAACAAATGCTTGGGGCGTCTGTAAAGCCGTGGGGTTCCCCATGGGCGGTTGACTGATCCTTCAGTTCCCCCGGCTGTCTCTGAGGTTTGGCTCTCCCTTTCCCTGACTTGCACCCGTCGCCACTCGAACAGGGGATGCGCGGCAATCGGCTGAGGTTCCTTGTGGAGGAAGGCGCGGGTCATCACGAGCTGGCCTGGCAATGGCGACTCACGGGGGCAATGCGCTTTTTGTTCAGTGCCTGGTGGGACGAATGAGCGTTTTATGCATATGTATCTGGGAGAATCATCATTGCAGTGAGCAGATATTGAACCTGGGACTGGCCAATCATATAGCGAGGGACGACTCGCACTGGGGTTGCAGCCATGAAGGATCAGCTGGGGACCTGCGAAAGTGGTACATAACACACCGTTGCGCACTGTTCACCAGTGGACTTTTAGCGCTGGTGGGGGCCAGAACTCTGGCTGGGCGTTGGGACCATGGAGGGCATGAGCCGACCCACGGGATGCAGTGTGCAGTGGGCCCTAGTGTGGAAGGTTTGCGCCTACCCTATCCATGGGTCGCTCTGCTGCGAAGTGGGAGCTCGGCTCCACAGATTGGAGGCTGGAATTGGACAGCTGCCTGCCGTAAGGATCGTCGCATCTATCCCACACGCTCTGCTCGAGATGCTGGGGCTTTTGCCTGTGTGTATGTGTGAGAGAGGGAGAGGGAGAGGGGTGTAGCGCCTTAGGGCGTGCGCGTTGACCGACCCGTTTGTCAGCGCGCGGAAGCTTCAGCTCAACTGCGCGGATAACAATTAGCAGCACTTGCCGCTGGCTTCTTGGACATATGGACTAACACAGTCACTGGTGGTGGTTCCACTCATCGTGAACGCCTACGCTAGGTAGCAGGAATAGAAACGAAACGAAACTGCAAGGAATGAAAATGATCTTAAACGTGATGGTTGCCGTGGTTGCCTCATTGTTTTTATTTTCCGCGCCGAGAGGGCGAATGGGCCGCATCCCAGTTTTCGTTACGTGCTGATATGCCAAGGACGCGCCCCGGCGTTCAGCGTTCTTCTGTACCTCTATCGGGCATTGGGTACATTATTGTTTTTAGCATTTTCAGTTTTTCGTTTTCCTGTACATATGAACGCAGTGCCGTAGTTGGCTGGCGTCCGTTAAGGAATGCCGTTTTCTGTTGATTGAACTTAGGGTTTTAGGGCTGCGAACACCTGGGTGCGGTGCGAGATATAGCGGAGAGTTTGGCGTGTGATGACGGCACAACGACCACTGGTGGTGCTTGTTTTCCTGTTCGGCAGCTGTTGTGTAGCTCTGTGGATTTCCTCCTTTTCCCCCCCGCCGTACCTCGAGGTCGTACGTATTTGCAGACGTACAACACCTGTTGTGCATGGGGTGGTATCGAAACCTCTACGGGTTTAATTTTTTGGCAAGCAGCTTGTATTCGTGTATTTGTATGTATGGCATTTCATTGGCGTTGTTGGGGCCTTACGGCCGCCGCGTCTTTGTTGGCACGGTGCAGTTGCCCCACGATAGTATGCTATTATGTGTCCCACCCCATCGTGCGGTTCAATCGCCTTGGCCGTGTAGTAGCTGTACAAATATGCGCTAATAAGGCGCTCCGCCAGCATCTTCTCTGCGGCCTCAGCAAGCCTCCTCAGCGGCCAGCCACTGCAGGTCGCCGCGATCCCTTGCAGGCTAATGTGAATAGATAGCTAAGGGGCAAATGTGCCTTGCATAAAAGTTAGTTATAACATCCTAATGGAAGAACATGTTGCATTAGTTGCAACCTGTTGGCCCTGACGGCTATTTCCTTGCCGTAGAACTGGAAACAGCCGGCAGCACGTGCGCGTCAACAGGCATCAGACTGGTTAGCTTGCCCATTTGAGTTGTATTGGCTTGCCCACCTGCTGAAAGTTGGGCAAGCCCATGAAAACCGGCTGCATGACTTACGGACAAGCATGTACATGGAAGAAAAAGGAGTGCACACAGCACATTCTGCACAACGCAGCCGCCATGTGTGCTTTTCTGGCCCGTTGACACCAGCACAAACAAACAGTGGGGAACCAGTGTGAATTTCCAATTCAATCCACAAAACGGACGTCTCAGCCACATATGGGATCTGGTCCATAAAATACAGTCAATCCCTTGCTCCTGGTCATGGCTGAGACACGGCACGGGTACAACAGGCGACGATCAATATCTACTTTTTGCATGGAAGCGGGTTGAGCATAGTGAGACTCGGATGGTGCAGTGCAGCAGCATGGTCGAGCAGCTGACAGATGTGCTCCCCTAGGCGCTGCCGAAGGAAAAGTTGAAGTTGATCAGCTGTTACAGCGATTTTCACAACACTGCGTGAGTGGCATGGGACTAAAGTAACCGTACCTTTGCCTCGCACACCTCTGTTGTGATTCGAGTGATAATCCGTGAAGGCTTGCACTTAAACACGGGGCACTTAGGAGCACTTCACTCATACTTGCGGTCTACCCACGTGAGTTTCAAAAGTTTTTTTGTGCTCCGCGTGGGAGCCCGCCTTTGGTTTTCTTCTTTTCCGCGTGGGAGCTTGAACGCAGGCCACCACCACTGCTATACATGTCTTGGTGGTACTCTTCCGTTGTTTTCTGTACCTTAAAGCACTTTGGCATCTTCGTACGTTTGTCGTACAGAAGCCTGACCGCGTGGGAGTTTTGTTTTCCGGCCAGAAGTCCTTATGCCTGTGTCTGTCTAGTCATCGTGCAACTGTCTGCCGTATTGCGTTAAATAGTAGCTGCCTTCTAACGGCTTTTCAAGTTGTGCACCTTTTGGTTTATGGCTGGCTCTTCCAGTGCTATATATTCAATGAAGCTTTACTTGCTTCATCAGCTGATTGTAGCAACCGTTGCTTCTTCGCTTTGTCCCTTACGCTTACGCACGGCTTAGCGGGAGCCAGCTTGCCACGCAGCTTGTCAGTTTGGCGTCATTCACGCAGTATCTGCGGGTTTCTAAGCTGCTGATATTTTCGCTTCGGACATCCGCCTAGGCTGTATACCGCAAGTGCTTCAGTCGCCAGGCTTTACATATTTAACCCGCTAACAGTCTCTCAGTTCCCCTACCCCTTAACATACGCCAGGCGGCGGCAGGCGTATTCTTACCTTATCATTACTCGTAGTATTCTTATTCTTGTTGTTACCATGATCACTAATTCATTTTTCATTGTTACTGTTATAGAAATATGTACATACCACTCCACATGAGTTTCATGATTGGCAATTCCTCGCGTGGAGTGGCGGATTTCTTAACACACGCGCGGGCGCCTGTGTGCTGACCCAGAGTGCTAGTCCTCTTAACCCTAGCCTATATCGCCTTCAAGCATTACTCCTCATTCTGAACCAGCATTAGGAATATGACATCATACAACGCCGCCGTGGCAACACATGCAACAGCTCCATCCATGGTGCGGAGATATGTGGCCTGCACACTTGTCCCGGGGTCGTAACAAGATACCCTTAACGTCCCGTTCCGACGGCAGCAGTCTTGTGCTCCGGTGTCGAGCTGCCTGTTGCGCACGCACTGTTTGTCCGTTGCTGAGATGCAAGACTACGGCGGTTTAAAACGACAATGTGTTTGTGGCGGGGACTTGTCCCCAGCCAATGCGCATAAGTGTCCTTGTCCCGCCGCGCGCAAGGCCCTCAGTCCATCCCCAAGTTAAGCGGGGCAGAAGACAGTTGATGAAGGTGAAGGTTTATATTCCGAATACCGCAAATCGAGGACGCCAAGAAGTAAAAATTAGGCTACAGGATAAATAATCCCGGCGTGTATTAAGCGATCAGCGATGAACGTGTTGGGACTCAATGTTGAACACTAGAACTTTTTTTGTCCTCCCAGGTATACATCCCCGAGGGCCCTATCCGAGTTGACAGGCTCACGAAACTGTCCATTGAATTGTGGTTGAACGTTCAGCCAATCACCTACGTCCTTACCAAACAGCCTGCCGCTGTGTCAAACAGCCTACCTTGCAGATCCACCGGGTGCCTGGGCCCATGGCCGGCTGAGGTGAGCGTGTGTCCGCCGCAACTCCCCAAGTCCCCACTTTTCCTCCCTTTTCCCGGATTCCAAATTCCCCACGTCACGGCCTTTACATCACCCGCATGTGGATCCGCGAGATTCCCTTCCCAACCCCCTCCTCCACGTGGGTCACCGCTTCCCCGCTTTTTTCCATCTTTCCCCCCTCCCAGGTCCCCTACTGACCCCCCATAGCTGCGGCCATATCGCCTACATGCGAACCCAACTCGTCCTCTTATGGCTTCCCCCCTTTTGTGCCTGCAGTTGTAAGTTTGGACTCGTGCTGATCAGTTCTCCTAATTAAGCAACATTAGGGCGAAACAGTCCATCTCCCTGTCCCCTCATCGCGCGTCAATGACCTCTTGCATCTCGCGTTTCATCGAGGGAACCAGCTGTATGTCCACCCGCTCTTGAAGTACCTGCCGAATGTTTCGCAGCGTTTTTTGAACCTGGACGGTTGGTTGAGAGGGCGGGAACAGGTTTTCGTGTTTCAGGAACAGGGGAGAATTATGGCACACTTGGGAGCCCGAAGGTGACCGGAACGTGAAGGCGAACGCGAGCGTGAACATGCAGATGAGGCACGGGTGAGGAGACGTGGGGTACGTACGACGAAGCACAGACGACAGACGGATGTTCCAGGAGAAGACAAATACTGCATCAGGAATATTTATGACCCACGGCGAACCCAGATGAGATATGGGGTTAGGAAGTGCGGAACTGATGGCACAGGTTGTAGGAGATCTGGATCAGGAAACATATAGCAGGGGTATAGCTCGTGACTTGTACAGCATATAGCAGGGTTAATAGCTGAAATGACAACACCAGCAGCAGCAGCAGCAGCAAGGATTTAGTAGTCATGAGGCCTCCGTAGTCCTGCTCCAGGGCCCTCCCGTACAGCAACACTGTGCACGACGGCGCCGTCAGTGCCCTTGGAAGTGGGCATTACCTCAAAACCGCACCCCCTGTTGCCCCATCACCCCCAATCCCATCTCCCCTTTCCCTTTCCCCACTGCCCAAACCGCGAGACACCCTACGTCTCAAAGTCCGATCGGGCTCCCCAATCCCTCAGGCGCCATGGGTCCCCAGCCCCCTGTATCTCTCCACCCACGCCTATATCGCATCCCTTTATTACTCTAACGCTGATTACTGAAATACTCGTAAACGTATCGTGTATCCCCAAAGCCTCCATGGATAACTTGTCTTCCGGTAGAGGTTCTTTGGTGAGGTGTAGGATTAATAAAGTGCAGCGTGCTGTGGTTGATTTCAGCGCTGCAGCAGCTTTCCTGCCGCGATAAGGTGCTGGACGACAACCAAAGCTTTCCTAAACACCCTCGTCCCCTCCTCAGACACCTACACACCTACGCATATACCTACACGCAGGCATGCGGATGGCTTTCTTACCTCCTTGTATCTCAGCCTGTGCTGGTCCTGCTCCACCATGTCGGTTCCGGGAGGTATGCCCCGAGCCCTCTGCTCCGCGGCATTTTTTGGAATGTTCTTGAAGCCCATCTCGGTCAGCAGCAGGTTGCGCTCCTTGACACACACGTACCTGTGCGGGAGACAGCGGTGTATGTGTTGTTGGGGGAAACAGCGGGAGATGGACCGCGTGTGGGGGTTCGCACTTCCTGTTTGTGTCCTATGGGGTCTTGCTGATCTTGCTAGCTTCACTGTTACAGGCTGGGCTGAATTTGGCTCCAGAGCGTGCTGGCCAAGACGATGGGTTGGGCAGGTCGGGCTGGGTTGGGCTGAATCGTGCGGTTCGAAAGGGCCTGAATCGGCTTTAAAAAGTACAGCTCCCTACACCTTGCGGAGTAAAGGCGGAATGTGGTTGCATTCAAAGCATCGAACAGACGCCCACCAGAGCTTATGGAGGTCCTGCCAGGATTTGTTCCGCAGCTCGTCCAGGTTCCACGCTCGCCCTGCGCGACGTGGTCCGCAAGTTGCTCCTGACGACCACACTGCTGCCGCCGATGCCCCATATGTTGCTTACCGTAGGCTTCATTGCCTTTCCCATCCCGCGATTCCCAATCGAAAAATTCCCGCAAGTCTGCGCAACAGGCACTAGCGCAAATCTGTCGCTGTTTATTAAAACATGGTGTGGCTAATTTAAAGGATAATGCGCTGCCTTGCCATGCGGCCGCAAGGAGCCGCTGCAGCATTTTGTAAGGAAGCAATGGCAGTTAGTTAGATCGTAGGTATTAAGGGGTTGTTTTTTGCACGTGTGGAAAAAGCACATCTGCTAGACAGTATCGCACATTACTAGCTGCTGCAAAGCACGAAGGATAGTTCAGCAGCTTAGGTGTCTCATAGAGATCACTTCTGCGCATAAACGTAAAACCATGTGATGGTTAGCTAGAGATAGGAAGCAATTCGAGCGTAATGGAATGAAGGAGCCGTTAAAACCGTTAGACGGCAGGAACCGGAACCGAGCGGAATGATACCAGGTGCAGCTCTCCCGCCTTTATCGGCCATCTCCCTCAGCTTAATGAGTATCATGCGTGCTGTCCTGGGCTGTCCTGGGTTGTCCCGCCCTGTCCTGTGTTGTTCCGTGTACCTGTTCTATCCAGGTGGGTAACAGATGATTTAATTTGAACAGGCTTACCATTTGGCAGCAGGAACAACCTGGGGAAAGATTCATAAAGAGGACGGAAAAGGGAGAGAGAGAGATGACAAAGAGATGGCACTCGGCATCGGTGGCACCAGCAGCACCTGCGCCGCGCTTCTCCATCTCTAACTGGCAGGTCTTATCCTGGAGCCATTACGGCTGCCAACTACCTTACACCGGCCAGTACATGAGCTTAGATGGAGGCAACATGTCCAGGAGATCGAAGGTAGCAAACAGGAGTCCACGGCTCGCGCGGGCCGTTGCTGACACTAACTGTGAACAAGGCTGCGAAAGTCATCAGTATGAATCCGGGCAATCCAGACATGATATCCAGCCCCTTGTTGGCCCCCCTATGCTGCATCCATCCGTAAACGTGGACGTAAGCTGCAACCCAACTTCCCGTTCCTAGCTGGTGGGTGAACAGTCACATCCCGCCTGGGTTATAATCCTGGCGCTTACATTGGTTTGGACCCAAAGCATTCCTGCCCTTGCGCATCGTTTTCTCGACAACGGGGTTCCTCCTGCCGAGGAGTCCAACCGTGCTTTAGCCGGGACTCCAGGGACTTCGACCCAGTCTTATCTTAAACATTCAAGCTTTACAGGCCCTCCTTTGACGAGCTAAGTCATAGAGCTGTTCTCGCAAGGCACTAAGCAGGTCCTGCGAAACATTTTCGCAAGACCTTTTTTGGCAACAATACTATTATCATAGGTTTGCTGGTCATCGCAGTTTAAAGATGATTTGTGATCAATATTCATATCTCACGCGCGTGCGGAATCACTAAATCTTGTTCGTATACCGTATTGCGAGCTGCACGCATTAACATGCCGATAAGCGTCACAACCGCGCTCCTATGCTCCGTGTATAGCATATGTACTCGGCACAAAGAAAAAGATTACTGCAGCATTTTGTATATCACGCCCATTAGCTTTTGATAAACTGGGACCTTACAAGACACAGGAAATGTTGCAGACGCTAGGCTCTTTTGCTCCAGATGGCAGATAGATATATACAACGAACTAGAATATTCCTCGAGTAGCAGGAAACCGTTACCAGCCCATTACAATGGGAGTCCAACCAACCCCTCGTAGTCTGCTCATCCTTGCGCTTGGATGGGCAGGTCTCATAGGCGTAAGTAATGCTCATTTATCTCTCCGCTGATCCAGGCCCGGCTGATAACCTCCGTCCGCTGCCGTTGACATGATTCGCTATCGCAGTCGGCGGACGCGGCCATGCCGCATATTTCCCAGTGCCGGTTATGCCACAAGTGCCATCTCGGTGAGATTCCCCCGGACGGTTCCAGCGGATCCGCCTTGGCATCAGCCGCCGCCGACTCCGCAACAGCCAGCAGCGCAACGGCCGCCGCTACTTCCAGTTTAACCCACCCCCATGCTCGAACACTATCCCAAGCTACCGCCGCAGCCGCTGGCGGCGGTCCTCGCATTGCCACAACTACCGCAAAGCAGGTCCTACCCATACGGAAGAAGCGCGCTCCGATGTACGACCCGGAGCTGGATCCGCTCGTACCTATCCAATTCAAACCTTCCAGCTACCGTCCGCAATCACAAAACGACATGGCCTCGCTGCCCGAGTGCGCAGAATGCTACGGCTGCCACCACAATCTCACACTCATCTCCGAACACATCATCTTCCTGAACAACACCTACTCTAGCGAGATGGGCGCCACGAACAGGCAGGTGGTGGTGGTAACACAGCTTTTGTTGGATTTACCTGTTTACGGCCGCGCGCGCTCTGGCTGATCCGTCGGCCCCCTCGACTGCATGGGTCACTACTGACCCGTGGGTCGACACTTGAGGAGGACTGGTCGTCACTGAGCAATGAGGATAGTAAGGTCCCCGTGGGGGCCCCTATAGGTCCATAAAAAATCTCCGCCAAAACTGCTAACCTCGGGGTTAGTAGTGACGGGTGGCCCCCAACACGCACACATACGCACACATACACATACACATGCCCCTGGTTGAACTGCGCCCCCGGACCTGCCTTGTCCCTCCCTGCCCGCCGACTCCGCGCTGGTCCTGCCGTACCGCAGTTGGATTTTCCGTACGAACACGAACATGACCCCCTCCGGCGAGGCTGTGGTCAAGGTGTACTGCATACCCATCTCTAAGCGTGTAACCGGCTCTAAACCCACATGCAACCCGGTGCGTATTGCCGAGATCATGAGGCATCTCCTGGCGCTGGACAAGCTGTCGCAAGATTGCGGATTCACGGTACGACGAGGTAGTGGGGGGGAGAGAGGGCGAGGGCGAAGGGGGGAAGAAGCAGGGGACAGGGGGAACGGCGGCATCGGGTATAGGGCAGGTCGAAGAAGATTGCCGACTGGGATGAGATGATATGGGATGCCGGGAAGGGCACTTGGCACCATGAGTCTTAGGAATACGGCGGATTCAGGTTTCAAGTTACAAGTTACAAGTGCCGCACGAGTGCGGGGGGTTTCGTCAAAGCCGGGAGGCCATGGACTATATACATTGAAAGTTGATTACACCGTACAACAGACGGCGGTCTGGGTCCTGCCAACTAGACCCCTCCTCATCCAGTCACCCGACATCCGTAGAGACAGGTCAGCCATCACCACCATCTCAGCATGCGAAACTCAGTCCATCAACTAGACCTCATCTCCACACCTCAGCAGCGTTAGTAAACCTAGATCTCCCGAATCCGGAACCTTCATATACACAAAGGCGCCACCAGATCAGACCGGATTTAGGTGTGAGGCGGTTGGACGGTTAAAGAACGAGGGCATGCGCAGACAGACAGACGAATGGACAGACAGATGGACATGAAGCTGGATGTGACGATGGACATGAAGCTGGATGTGACGCCGCGTATTACAAAGAGTTTCATGAAGCCAGCAGGGACCCACGTTCATATACCTCCCTCCCCTCCTGCCTTTTGGACGCCGTGGCAGTTCATTCCTGGTTCCTTGCATATGATGATTCCGCCCCGCCTGCCCCCCTCCCCGGCTGTTTGCCGTGCTACCTCTTCCATGTTCCCCCCCGCCTCCCCAGTTCTACTCCTGGTACACTCTTGCCCTGGCAGCAGTTTCACTCGGTCATGGTTCGTCTTTCCCCCCGCCTCCCACCTTGCCCCTTTTCCCCCCTCCATGCAACCCCCCTCCCCCGACCCCGATATACATACAGGACCTCATTCCCCGCATGTGGCTGGCCCCCGTGTTGGGGATACTGCCCGGAGTGGGGTATCCCATCCACTGGCGAGTTGGGGCAGCCTAAGGGAAGGGGGGAGCCCAGTAGGGGAGCCCAGGGAAAGGGGGGCAGTGGACTGGAGGCTGGGGAAAGGGGGGGGGCTGGGAAGGCGGTTTTTGTTAGTTATGGCGTTATTGCCTGGGGGTGTGGGGTTGAGAAAGGGTTTCCCTACGGTTGGTTGATGTACTCGGACGGAAGTTGGTTTGTGACGGTTGTGACAGACCGCCTTCGTCTGCTTTGGGTTTTCTTTCCTTTCCTTCCCCTCTCCGTTTATGTTACACTCCCCTTTCTCTCGCTCCCTCTGTGTTGTTATTGTTGTTTTGTTCAGGTGGGGCTTATGGATGGAGTACGTGGAGGGAGTCAGTTTGGAGAACGTGCTCTTCAAGGGCGTTCCTAAGCGGCTGCCGTTGGAGACCATTGCTGACCTGTTCAACAACCGACTAAACACGACGCGTGTCATACGCGCGGCCATCTTTGACCTGTTGACCAGTCAATGCGACCGCCACGCGCAAAACTTGCTGATCCAAGAAGACGGAAACTTCAAGCTCATCGACAATGAGTCGTGTCTTCAGCACATGTGGCGCAACTGCGCGTTTGATTCGGTGCTGGTGCCTACGACCCAAAAGTAAGGGAAGGGGGTTTACCGGGGGAGGGGCCGGGAGGGGACGGAACGGGACGGAACGGGACGGAACGGGAAATCATGTGCAAGACACACATACGCGAACGGGGCGAGGGGTGAAATGGGTTGTAAGGGAGCGGATTATGTAAAAAAACTAAACCCCTAAGGGTCAAAAGACAGCACAGCACCCAGGACTCTATTGTGGCTTAGGACCTTTGCAACGGGGGGTCGGGGGAAAGGGGTTGTGTGAAAAGGGTTAAAGGGGCGTGCGGGTTTTGGGGCCCATGGTGAAATGACTGATATAAAAAACCTGAAAGAAAATTGAAATGAAGCATGGCGGGAAGACGGGGCCAGGAAATCCCGAGGTAAGCACGGCACACAAGATAGTGTCTTTCCCCCTCTTGTACACACACGCACACACACACGCCTCGCAAATTTCCAAGAGGAAACCAAACCAGAACCTCGCCTCCGTTACTACCGCTTAACCTCCCTTCCCCCTTTTCCCCCCAAAAAACATTTATTCCCTGCCGTACTGTCAGGCAGGAGATCGTCCGCCTAGCCAACCACTACGTGCTGAAGCTGCCCACCGTGACGGGCGGTAACGCCATACCCCACGCCTTCGCCGACCCGCGCCTGCTTTTCGATTACCGTTGCTATCTTCCCGATGGGAGAGAGCAGATGGGCACCAAGTACCCGCCACAAATCGGGACCTGCTTGAAGCGTGTGGCGAGTATGACACCCAAGGAGGTGTGTGTGTGGGGGTTGCGGGTGAGGGTGTGGGGGTCGTCTCTGCTCGCGCGCGCGCATGTGTGTGTGTGTGGGGGGGGAGTAGAATTCGATGGGGGGGATGCGCTGGTGTGTATGGCGCGTAAGAGGTAAGGTTTGGGGTCGCGGATGGGGGATCGGCATACCATGACAACACCGGCACCACTGAACCCCCTCTCCCTTGCCTGAAGAATTCAAGATGCAGTAGCCGCGTCGCTTGTTTGCATGGCATTGGCATTGCGAACTCGCTCCCACCCACCAACCCTGCGTGCGCACTAGCCCCCTTGCTTGTGCTACCTCCGGTACCCCCCCGCGCGCGGAAAGTGAGTTCAACCTCCAAGGTAGACCACCTTCGGTCAGGTTTTATAGTGTGCGGGCGTGTCGTTGTTCGTATACGGCATATCCCGACCTAAGGTTTTGCCTTCCCGTCCCGCTCCTTTGATTTTGGAGAGCGCTTTCCTCCTTTCCCAACACTTCCTGGTCTCTCTCCTCCAGTCTCCTTCCCTCACCTACTCACCCGGCCCCCCCCTCTCCTCACCTGCTGGTATACACATACACATACACACACACACACCACCACACACACCACCACATGCACGTGTCCAGATTGTCAAGTATTACGGCTTTCCGGACGAACGTGTTGCCAACAATTTGCTGACTCGGGCGACGGGTGAGTGCGGGCCAGGGAGCGGAGGGGGTTGGCGGGGTCGGGTTTAATTGATGGGGCAGCAGGTGGATAGGGAGATTGGTCGGGGGAAGGGGGAAAGGAGGTGAGAGACCCATGTCGCACTGACGAAGTGGGGTATCTCTGCACGTATGTGTGTATGTATGGTTGTATGTATGGTTGTTTGTGAGTTTGTACGTGTCGCAACGGGTTTTACCTGCCCAGCCCACCTGGCATCCTTGAACCCCTCTGCCGCTTCACCACCATCCACCGTACCCCGTCCCTCGAAGGCACCCCCCCCCTTCCCTCAAAAAAACCTCTCTATCTCCCCTCCCCCTCCATCGTGCGTGCTTTGCGTAGATCCACACCCCATAAAGAAAACCCGCGGCCCCCCATCCCTCACCTCCTGTTTCCCCCGCGCTCTCCCCACACCTCTTCCATCCCCCCCTCCTCCTCCCGCTCCCCAATTTCCCTTCCTGCCACAGACATGATCACACGCGGCTTCGAGTGGGCTGCCAAGTACGGCCATCCCCAGAACGCGCCGCCCAAGCGGTACCGCTTCCAGCCCAAGTGCTGCAAGGTACGTGTGGAGAAGACGCAGTTCCAGTGCGCGCATCCCTGGAGCCCGAGCCTGGAGCTGCCCTTTGGGAACGCCATCACGGGACAGCCCTGGGACAAGGACCGACCGGATCCGGGGTCATACGTGGGGGGGACTTTCCCGGAGGATGGGGAGTTGGGGGAGAATGCGACGGCCGCTGCGTTGGGTACGGCGATCGCTGGTACGGCAGTCGGTACGGCAACATGGACGCGATGACAGGGGAAGTATTGAGGGTTGGGCCTGTACGGGGCGAGGAGGAGCTGCAAGACGGTTTGCTTGGGTTGAGATGTGGGAGTAGGGGGGGAATGGAGAAGAATGTGGGGGTAAATGTCGGGGGGATGTGGGGGGGAGGAGGGGAAATGGTATGGAGTCGAGTATTGCGTCATGTGTTTGATGTGTTTATGACAAGGAAGCGTGTTTGGTTAGGTTAGGTAGTTTGGACGACGACGTGGTGGTGGTATACGGTGTGTATTGCGGAGGGGCCGGTAGGGCATATTGATGTGGGGGAGGCAGGAGGGGGGCGTGAGCAGGAGTGCATTAAAACGGCGAGGTGATGAGGATTCACGCCGAATAAGGGGGAAATGGTAAAGGAAAGTCCCCTTCCTTTTGGGGCCCCCGCTCACCCGCCCCCTCGCCCCGCTTACCCGGGGAATGTGTACGTATGTACGAGAGATCATTTTCGTACCATTTCATCATGGTATGGGGAGAGTATTGCTTACTTGTGCGTGTTGTCGGGAGGGTCCAAGTTATACACACATACATACATACATACAGAGACATCGCGGCTGAGATTATTTAAACACACATGCATACATGCGCGCACATGCACACAAAGACGTAGGCGATGGCATCCCTCCTAACATACTTGTTTGGTTTGTTGGTTTTCCTTGTGTGACTGAGAGCAGCTGCTGTTACTTGGAGAAAGCTTCAGGAGTAGGGTAGTTGTAACAGTTATATTCCGGGAGGGGAAAGCAAGCTGTTGGACTGACGGAGGGGGCAGTGTAAGAGATTGAACTCTGGGGTGCGGTTGTGCGTCTGTCTGTATGTGCACGTGTGTGCGCATGTATGTGCTCGTGTCACAAGCTAACTGGAATAAGCGGTGTGTGCTGGCGCTGCTGTTGCTGGTGCTGCTATGCTGCAGCCATGCAGTGTCGCGTTGATCTGCCCAACCATCCAGCCAGTTTCTTTGATGGCTGCACAATGCCTTTGCAATCCACGAAAAGCATGGCTGCTATGCTCGGGTACAAGCAACGGTCCGGAGGCGATCATAGTCCATTTTAAACGTTGGATAGGAGGATGTGCAGCCGATTGCAAATGCGCTAAGAACCATAGGATGGTCTTACTCTCTCATTATAACTATCGGACAATTGCTGGTCCAGGAACCTGAGGTGAATGTGTGTTAAAATCTTATCGAACGCAAATCTCACAAATTTGCCGCGCAAGTACGGTGTTGGTTGGGCTTGAGGACACTCTGTAACTCAATCGGCACTCTGTAACACGAAGATTGAGACAGACTGTTGTTACCGTGCTGTTAGCTAGCGGCAGCATGTAACGGAATGGTCCTCAAGTTTCCTCCTCTTCCCCCTCCCCATCATCCCATAAGTCTACCCTACGCATGATGTTACTGGCCGGCATACGCTTCCATAGGTAATCTGAATGTTTTCCCTTTAGCTCCCTAATGATCATGGATGACAATACCTACTTTCCTGCAGAGCTGTAGCAAACGAGGAGAGTCGGGAGCCAGGGGACGACAAGGGAATTGGAAGATGTGGGTTGGTCAAGGTGTGCGGTGAAGTGAAGGCGGGGCACTAGGCTAGGGGGGGATTGGCAGTCCTGCAGGTCAAGTCAGGGTGGATTAAGTGTGGAAGCTTCCTCTACGTGTATGTGTGAGCGTGTGCATTCCATGGATAGTGCTCTAATTTCGTGACTTTTGCTAAGGGTCGGATACAGTTGCGCGAATGTTTGACACCTGAACAAGTGAACACCCGTGGATCCATGTGCCTGTTTACGGACCGCAACGGCGAGGGGCTAAGGGAGCACAACGGTTGATAGAAGGAGTTGCAGTATCCTTGGGCGTTGTGTAGCCTGGATGTATGTACTGAGCCAAACTAAAGACTCTTCCAATGACGGTTGCCTGGACAAAGGAGATTGAAATGCTCCTAACATTTAAGAAAAGCATATTCAATCCATATATGAAATCCATATATGCATAGTTCGTGTGTTCATTGGCACCGCCAGTGACTACAGTCGCAAAATGATGAACCAGTTTGAAGCTTGACCGGCGCTCCGGAAAGCCTTTGAAATGCACGATCTTGCTGTACTGTATGGCTGGAACTGAAAGGAACTGCTCCTGAGTGTTGAGGCAATGACCGAAAAACAACAGTACGGTAGCGACCTGTTGAAGCGATTGCCGATGGCTCCACCTCACTACCATGCCAAGCAAGTCAGCCCGCAGCTGCATTTAGAAGTAGGAGGGACATAGGCTGTCTACAATTAACCTTTATGTTCCCAGATGCTACGGCTGAAAGAAAGCTACCTCCAACCTCTATTCACTTTTGAAACACTCATACCCTTTGTTCGTGTATTACCGCCGAAAGCTTATGATCCTAGTATCCCACGCTGAACTAATAATATAAGGGAGAGTTTCCGTAGGTATTTGTGCTAGAACTAACGGCGCGGCGGGAGGGGCTTGGCCTCTGCCCGCGCGCCTAGGACAGCAATATGACTGACTTGTTAGGTGCTGTCAAGGGCAAGAGTGCAATTTACCAAGGCATGGAAGATGACCCTGATATTGACGACATTGAGGACCAGGTCGCCCCTCCACCGACAGATGCGGAGAGGGAAATGCAGGAGTTTTTCAAGCGGATTGAGCAGATTAAACTGGACCTTGCGGCCATTAAGGACTTGCAGAAGGAAGTCCTCAGCATGCACGAGAGGGGCAAGACAATCGTGAAGTCCAAGGAAATGCAGAAGCATCGTGAGCTAATGCAGGTCCGCAGACATCTATATTGTTAACGAGAACCTCCTAGGGCTCTCGACGGCTGCTGATCGCGCGCTAAACACGGCACGCCCGACAGCTAGTCGGGGTCGGCCACCACTTGTTGATGACCTTGCTCCTGCTCATCATAAGCGCCATCATGATGAACTCCCCTTTACCTGCTGTACTGCAAACCCTACAGCTTCTGACCCTCGGCTGCAGCCCGAACCCTCGGGTCAACGTGCGCAATAGCAGGGACATAGCCTTCCACAGCATGTAGAATCCACTCTCCTCCCCACACGCCCTTCCCCTAATCCTCCGACGTAGCCCAGGATAACCTTCTAGGCTACCCCGTATTGAAACAACAGATGTTCTCAACTTTCCCTCGGCTTGACTTCTCTCTGCAGGACAAAATAAACGAGGTCAACAAGCTGGCCCACGCAGCGAAGGCAAAAATCGAGGCCCTTGATAAGGAAAACGAAGCCGCCAAGAAGAGGAAGGGACAGGGGCAAGGCACCGCCTCTGAGCGCACCCGCACCACGATTACGGCAGGTCTTAAAAAGAAGCTCAAGGACCACATGCAGGAGTTTTCGGATCTACGGTCTCGTATCCAGTCTGAATACCGGGAGATCGTCGAACGGCGGGTGTACACGGTGACAGGTGCGAGAGCTGAGGCTTGGGCACATCGTTTGTATGCGCAGTACGGCGTGGCGTGGCTCCACAAGGCAGAATCAAATCGAAGAGGACAAAAGGCGAACTATTAACAAAGGCAGCAATTAATCCCAAGGAGTGATTTAGGAGGCTGAGAACTAGAGGGTGCAACACAGGCTTGGCGTGGCGCTGTGGAGCATACGACAGATCTATGACAACTGGGAAAAGGTGAAACGATGAAAGTGAAGAGGGGAGGATGGCCGTCCTGGTTGCAGCATCGGCGGCATCAGCAGCAGCATTGGCGGCAGCGGAAGCAGCATATGAGTTTCCACTGGCGGTTAGCAGGTCTTTGGCCCCTGGTTCTGGCTGGTGCACCTTGTGATTCCGGATGGATGTCGGGTGATGTTACGTGCTGCCAGCTTCGCCACCAGCGCTGTAGCTCGATGGCCACCACCCTGCTGCCGCCCTGCCCCGCCCCACATGTATCTCAACCTTGTCACGTACCTAGGTCAGCATGTGGACGAGGAGGAGATTGACCGCATGATTGAGAACGGCGACTCCGAAAATATATTTCAGAAGGCGATTTTAGAACAGGTACGTGCGCGCAGTGTCCGCAAGCACAGTGGATGGCTTTGGGAGAGAGGCCAACTTGGGGCGGCGGGTTGGCCAAGCACGTCCAAGTTGCTTGGGCCCGAGCCAACCGGGTTGTCTTGCCCAGGACCAACCACGAGATTTTGATCGGCTCACATCGCCAAGCCACCACTCCGTCATCTTCAAGTGAAGCCTTCATTTCGGTTTTGCTCGAAACTCATTTTGCATCCCCGTAACCCTCCTCACCTGCATAGCGGCTCTCTATTGCCTTGACTCTAGTGCCCGCCGTGCTCCTGCATACCGCCTCTTCTTTCTTGCAGGGCCGTGGCCGTGTTTTGGATACATTGGCTGAGATTCAGGAGCGCCACCGCGCCGTGAAGGTCTTGGAGCAGTCGTTGCTGGAGCTGCATCAGATATTTCTGGATATGGCCGTGTTAGTGGAGGCTCAGGGGGAGATGCTGGACAACATCGAGAAGCAGGTGAGGAGGTAGGGGCCGGAGGAGGAAGTGCTGGGGGCCATGTGGAGGATTCTTTGATCTGGGTCGCCGCCTTGGGCTTTAAGTAAGGCTGGCAAAGTGATCATGGGCATGCAGCAAGTGAATGCAGGGCATTTGTTCCTTCTCATCCGCTCCGCATGTTCATGTCCTCTCCACTATCAACCTCTCATTCCCCCGCAGGTGGCTCGCTCTGTGGACTACGTCAAGGGTGGCACGGAGGCGCTGCAGGACGCCAAGCAGCTACAGAAGAACACTCGCAAGTGGATGTGTTGTGCCATCATGATCATGCTAATCGTAGCGTTGGTCATAGTGCTGGCCGTGGTGCGGCCCTGGCGGTACCTGCAGAAGTAGCCGAACTAACGGCCAGCAACGGCCGCAGTAATGGGCAGTGGCGCGGCGGCAGAACTCAACCTTGTGGTGCGTGTTGATTTGTGGGAAAGGGTTGGGGCCAGGGTTGGGGCCACTGTGCAATTTGGGTCGTCGGGCGCAGGCAGTGATGATGCTGTGGTCCACATGCAGAATACTTTTGGATTTGGAACTTCGGTTGGAGCGTGCTGGTCGTGAGCTCGATTCCCATTCCGATGTGGTTTGATTGGGATGTCGTCCATCGGGGCTGCCACCGCATTGCCGCAAACGGCTGTCACAGCGTGGGGATTTCGGTTTTGCCCCCGGCTTGCGGGATGGCCGGGACTGCCCCTCAAAGCCTGGGGACCTGGGCAAATCTTTTTGGGCGCGGCGGGATCGTGGCTTGAGAGCTGCATACCGCATGGAAGGACGGGGACCCCCACATGGCCTTTGCCGGAGCCCCGTGTGGGACGGATGTGACTGCACAGGTCTCGAGGATTTTGGACGGCATATGTTTGCGCGGTATCCAGTACCTTTGCGACGATGTGCTTTCCTTGGCGAGCGCGTTGGTTCTTGACAACATTTCTGCTGCAGGTGTCCGGTGAAATGAAGGTCCCTGTAAGGGAGGGTGGCGCGGCTAGAGCATTTGCGTTGAGCTTGCATCTGCTTTGTGGGTGCTTGCTTGTGTATGGGTTAGGGGGGATACGGCGTCGGGGATGGGGAAAAGGTTGCGGCATAAAACGGCGTTTATTTAAAACGGCGTTTTAACAGCTCGTCGCCTGTAGTGCATGTTTGTGCCAGGCTTAGGGGCGAGGAGAAGGGGCTGGAGAATGGAGTTGATTATTGCTGGACGGCGTACCTGGGCCCGCCAACGTGCGTCTCCTTGAGGTGTTGGCCAACTCAGCTCTGCTACCCAGTGTTAAAAGAATGGCAGCGTTCAATGCGCCTTGGCCTCTCCATTGGCCCTGGGCTTGCTCATTAGAACCTTGGTCACCGCGTGAGGGATGCTTCTCGAACCGTGTTTTAATGTGACAGGCGCCTTCGTTTACCATTTACCAATTTTGAGGAGGACCAGTCGTTGCCCCGCAGCAAGCATTGTTAGGAACGTAGCTGTTAAAACCAATATTGTGCGTGTCTCCGCCACACCCCTCACATGCTTGTGCTTTCGGGCTCATGGTGCTGACAGGGGCAGGAACTGGGTGTGGCTGAACTCCGTATGCGCGTTCTTGCATCTAGGTAGCAGTACCGGACCATTGATAATTGCGCAGTTATCATTATGGAATGTGTAACCCTATGGAAGTTAGACACCTAACGAATGAGCAATAAGTGCTACTAAGAGAAAGTACGAGTGAGGAACGCGTGGTGTACTCCATGTTTGAGTTGCACATTTGAGATGATGCATAGCCGTTATCGGTTGCTGAGTCCGCAGTCTGGAGGTGTGTTGAGCAGCCCAACGCGGCGCGTTTCATTTAATGGATTTGGGAAGGGCTTTGGGCTTTGACTCAGTCGCGAAATACGAACCTGGCTGTTGGTGCTCCGGACGAAAATGTACTCGTGCTGTTGATATGCTGTTGGAAAAAACGAGGGGCTTGGTAAGGATGGGGGAAAGTGGAACTCTAATGGTTTTCTGACTACGCACGTAAATAGCTTTTTGCGATTTAAGCGGGGACGGTCGGAAAACTGGGAGCTGCACATTAGGCGCTGACGCGAATGGATGTACGGTTTGGGGGTTCGATGAGTTATTTTCGCTTGACATTACCATAACCGACCACGTCTACAAAAGTGCAACAAATACATGACAGCGTATTTCCAGGCACTTCCCGGTGGAGCAAACCAGCATTCTTACAGGCGGCACAGCACAGTTTGCACAGCTGTTGCTTGCCATATTCCCCCTGAGTCAACTGGCATCCATACGACAGCAGTAAGTACCCTCAATCACCTTCTGCACCACGTTCTGTTGCTGCATCCTGCCGTAGGGCTGGGGGGACTCTTTTGTTCGCATTGCCCTCTCTTGCACGAAGCTGGTGGGCATTGCTTCTGAAGTCGAGGCTGATTTCTGAGCACGTCTCCTGTCATTCGCGTCGTTGGGCGTTCCACCACGGAACTGGGAAGCTGCCGGTCGTGTTGTCTTCTGAACCCCTAACTCTGCCTCTCCGGCCGCGGTCCCCGCATGAGCTGTGTTGACCCTTCGTGCGTGATGTGCAATCATCGGACTGTGTTAAGACCCTTGGTGGAAACCGCCTGGTGGAGCTTGGTGTGGAGCGTGGCGGTGGCTTCTCGTCCTTGCACCCTGTCAGAGAGACCGGGTATACGCTGCGCCCTTTCTTTTTGGTTTGAAGGCATGAAATTTGTTGATTTCGGTACTTGCGACTGCACGGCTCCCTGCTTTTTGCTGAGGGTACGTGCCCTGGGGTAGTTTGGTTAATTTTCAACCGCTAGCATGTACGGTGTGGGTTGATTCCCTGTCTGCCTTGTTATGATAGCATCCTAAAACATACAGAGTTCGGCATGAGCAAAGACACATACCTCAGCTTTTGCCAGTCCCATCCTACCTCACCAGATGCCTCGCTATGCTACGCGACGCTAGGGAATCTCCTCCACTTCACGCACACGCGCGATCTCAGAATGCCAGTACATGCCTGCCTAGGTCCCATCCTATCCACCTACCTAGGCGAGCAGCAGCCCGCTGCAAAAAGGCCCTCAGACCATCGTATACTGTACGTGTTACCACGCCAGAAGCACAGCATATGTAGCAGTACGCTTAGCGGACCCCTCTCCTTCCCTAACCTCCCTAAACACGCTCCTCTCCACGCTCTCTCTCAAGCTGCTGCGCAGCTAGCTTTCACCGACACTCTCCGGCAGATGAGCAGTGGCCGAGCGGGCCACAGTCGCCAGAAGCACACGCTTGCAGGTACCATTTGTCCCCCTCCCATACGTGCAAATGCGCCCTCCTCAAGCAGAAACAGACACGCATCCAAAACTAGCGCAATCGTTTCCCCCCTTCCCTCAGGGGCTCTAAACGGCGCTCTACCTTCTGGCCTCTCCTCACACACATGTACACGGACTCCCACAACATCGCCGCGACAGCTGAATATCACAACAGACAAATTGGATGCCGGGTGAATATAATTTTCCCAAAGAGGACTTCGCGTCGCACTTCGCGCATTTTTCTCTATGCATACGACAAATACTTCATAGTACGTTTGGACGCCGTTACATTGTATTACGTTAAACTACGCACCTTTCATACAAGATCGTTCGTTTAACTCCAAGCCCCCAGCGCGCCAACACCCCAACTCACCGAACTGCCCACTGACCGAATCCTAGGCACCTTCCCAGCCAGTACGGCTGGTCTTCACAACGCGGATTCGCGTCCCGGGCGGGCAGATTCGCCTCCACCTTCCGAATCCCTGGCCTTGCTTATGCTTCTTGGCCCTGGTCCTGCATGTGCGGCTTGTGGCGAGGGTGGAGGCGGCAACAGCTGCCCCGTCACCTTTCCCACCCCTACGGCCCGCGGCCCCACACCTCCCGCCTCCCCAGCCGCCGCCTTCTTCAGCATATCACCCAGCCCAGCCTCGTGCATAATCTCGGCTAGAAGTACATCTCGCTCCGGTTGCCCCGATCGGAATTCGAACCAGCGCCAGTGCGGCACGCTCACCACCACCCAGCCACGCGCCTCAAGGCAGCGTCGCCGATAGGTCGTCATACTCAATGGCTGTTTGGTATTGGCCGTGAAGTGCGCCGGGCCGTCCACTTCCACCGCCACGCGGAGCAGCTTGGTAGTAAGGCCACATCGTCGTTGTGGCGGTGGCGAGGACGGTGTCGTACTCGGGGGCCGCGACGGCGCCAACGCGTCGGCATGCTGTTGTTTGGGATGCGGCCCCGAGGAAATCGACTGGGACAGCCAGGGCGCTTCAGTGGCAGCAACAGTGGTGGTTCTGTTCCTGGTGGCGCTGACCTCGGCGATATCACTAACGATGGGAGCTGAAGCCGCGGTAGCGGTCTCGGGCTCTCTTGAGAGCGAAGGCGGTCGGGAGGTGTTGGCGGTGGCAGTGGCATCAGCAGAGCTTGGTGCGTCGGTGGCGGCGACTGTCGCGCCACTGCGGCGCGCACAGCTGGTGAGGTCGCGGCGTCCTTCGCGGCCGTTTGGGTGCGTGAACGTCATGTTACATAGGCAATCGTTTGACACCATTGAGACCGTTGCGACCGTTAAAGTCGGGTTGAGATGGGACGCCGCGTGTTTTTATATCCGGTGGCGAGGGAGGCGGTGGTGGCGGAGGGGATAGGGGGCCATGTGGGTAGCGGGACAGGCGTAAGAAGTTGGTTGACATTTGGAAAGTGGTGATTTGACGCAACTTTTATGCAAATGCCACATAGCTGTCGTCACAAGAGCCCTGTGCATACTTCAGTGTGACAAAACTGCAAGGGATGTGCACTGTAACCCCCAGTACCAGTAGCAGTAACACGCCTACCTCTTCCAATGCTTCCCTTCCCTTCCCTTCCCTCTCCTGTCCTGGCTCTTGCAGCGGTAAGGCGCGCAGGGCCCTGCCCAATAACCGACGCCATGATTGACCCCCATATGGTGAACCCCCTGGTTGAAGCCAGCCAGCCGCCAACAGGCGAGTTGGCTAAGGAAAAGTGGCAGGTGACTGCTTTGAACCTAGGGAAACAGAATAGGTTGAACCACCAACTCCTAACCGCCTTCGCTTCCCAACCATCTCACCTGCCGCGCCACCAGTAATACCACCATCAATGCCACCACCCTCTCCCTCCGGTTGCTCCTGCTGCTCTCGCTCCAGCCTCTGGCGCTTCTGCTGTCTCCTCTCCTCTTTTCCCCCCTCTTCCTGGTCGTCTTCCTTCTGCTCCGGATGCCCCCTTCCGGGTTCCTGACGCTCCTCCCGTAACCCCTCCCCTACATCGAGTCTGTTGTCCTCGTCCTCCTCGTTCTCCACCTCCACCATCATCACCACTTCCACGGCCAGGTCGATTGAGAACAATCCGTCGTCAGTGAGCATCTGCGGCATCGTTGGTCAAATTTTTTGAAGTTTTGCCAATTTTATGGTTGGGGAATATCTGAATCTGGTGAAGCTGTGTTATTGTAAACAATTTGTTTACAATAATTAAAATTGTGCTCATATAACATGCGAAAGGGAGTTTGGTCTAGTGGTATGATTCTCGCTTAGGGTGCGAGAGGTCGTGGGTTCAATTCCCGCAACTCCCCAACTATTTTGCAAATCATATTGTTCCACCTTGGGGTTTCTGCAACTCTTTTTTAGCTCCATACTTTACATATTTCATTCATTTTACAACCAAACAACCAAACAAAACAAACTTACCTCAACCCGGTGTGGTAACCCCATCCTGCAGAGCGCTCTCGACACCTCCCTTTGGAAGCCCGACACCTGGGACCTCTGCGCGCTGTTTGACCTCCACACAGCCTCCCCGCGGTGCAGCAGCCCCGGGGGCCCCGGCGACAGGAACACTCCAGGGTGGTCCAACTGGATGTACAGATACGCCTGTGCGCGCGTGTGTGGCGGGGGGGGATGTAAGACATACTCAAAACGAAGTAAAACGCCGGTATGCCGTGTCGGGATGCCGGCCTGCCGTATATGCCGTATGCCGTGTACGCGTGCGCGTGCGTGTGCGCGCACAAGTGTCTATATGCCTCAAGCGTGTCTATATGTGTCTGCGTGTCCTATAGGCCAGTGGAATATGGGCCCAGGTTTTGTTGCGGGGACGGCATGGGATTCGTGCTGGGTGTGAAAACGTACACGCATACACACACACACACACCGCTGCCCGCCATTCATGCTTCTCCCACCCTCCCTCCCCAACCGCGCTACGACATCTCCCGCTCCTCATGTGCAGAACCCAACCCCATGTACACGGATGGTGATTTCAGAAGGTATATTTCAGGGTAAGATATTACCTCCCCCACCCCCACCTGGTAGACTTGAGTGAGGGCCTCCGCGGGCAGCTCCTCAATGCCCCCCTGCGCCTCCACAACCGCCTCCAGAACGACCATAAGCTCACTCCACAGCAGGGCACCGCAACCCCCGACCAGACTTAGACCCCAAGCCAGGTTGCAAGCCTGCTGGGCGGAAAGCTGGAAATGCTGCTGATGGGGCTGCTGTGGGAAATGGAAGCCGCGACCGTCCGGCGCGGTGGTGGCGGCGCGGTACACCGCCGCCAGCCTTCGCTCCGTCGCTTCGAGGAGCTCGGGATAACGCCAACCGAAAACGCCGGCGGCGCAGCAGATGTTGGTTAGGTTTTGCCAAGTCAGGGAAATGGTGGCAGCCGCCGAGCCGCCGGACGCCGCCATGTACGACACCGCACGCGCGACAAGGCCGTCGAACAGCGGCCGATGTGCATGTGTCAGCCTGCCGTATGCCCAGGCAACGTTGGCCACGTGCTGGGGCAAAAGGGACGGAAGCCGCGACGAGCAAATCTGGTCGCCGATGACGTCCATCAGCCGTTTGTCGTACAACGCCAGCCGCGCCGCTGCCCAAACGCTGTTGCTAAGCTCTTGTTCGCTGAATTCCGCCACGCGACGCAACAGGGTTGGCAACAGGGCCGAGAAAAGTACGGGCGCCGGCTGCTCCAGGGTGCCGTACGCCCACAGCAAGTTCGCGATGTGCTGGGGACGAAGAGCCCTGGGTCAGACGTACGGCAATGAGTGTTTGTGAAGTACGTGTGTACGAATTGTTTGGTTCTTCTTTGGGAAAGCGGGGTTAAGGAAGAGGGTTTTGTCGGGGCGGTGTGTGCGCGTTGATAGGGACTGGGAGATGGGGTCTGGGGAAAGACGAACCACACACGATTGTCTGGGGTCTGGGGACTGGGAGATGACTCCTGGGGTCCAGTAGGGCTGCAGGGAGTGCGGGGAGTGCGGGGAGTACGGGGAGTGCGGGGAAGAGATGGCGTTTTAGGGTTTTTCCGCAAGCCGTGGCGTGAGGGACATTGACATGGGGAAAGAGATGGATCCGGGTTTACAACCACCACCACCACGGCAGAAATGGAAAGCGTTGTTCGTCCATACAACCGCAATAATATCAAACTGTTAACGACGGTTATGGTGGTTGGTGTGATGGATCACATGCTAGCTTCACTCCTGACAAGTCCCCTCAGTCACCTACCAGTACCCAAATAACTCTGACTGCTCACCTAACAGTCGCCGACTCCGCGGACTGGCCGCTGGCCGCTGCCGGGGCGGCGGCGGCGGCGCCATCACGTGCAGCCGCTGCCGCCGCCGCCAGCCTGTCCGCCACCTCCCGTTCCACCTCCGCCAGCGCCGTAGCGTCCTGATGCCCCAATGTTGCCAGTGCCCACACCGTATTGGCCACATGCTGCCAGGTGTAGCTTGCCAGCAGGGCCCGAGTGGAGAGGTGACGACACACCTGCGAGTCCGCATTCGAAGTAGGGGTGGTGGAGTGGTGGAGTGGTGGAGTGGTGGAGTGGTGGAGTGGTGGAGCTTGCTCGCTAGCCAGAGCTAGATCGCTCGCTACAAGTATAAACACACGCACACAGAACCCTCCCTCCCCGCCCC